CCCATTACCTGTTAGCATAAATAACCGTAACAAATATAACTAAGTTTCCAAAACAAGAGCCAGTTTAGTGAGGAGAGTGGCATTGTTTTACATTTTTCCAAGTCTCTTTAATGTCTGGATTCTCAGTCAATCTGTTGTGATATCACGTCATGTAGGCTCTGGAAAACTATGGTACACCCATAAGTGAATGAGAGTGGAAAAGGCAAATAACATTTTAGTATCATGAAAATGTTTTGACTTTGCAGATCCTTTGAAAGGGTTTTAGGGAGCCCTAGGGTCAGACTAGTTTGAAAACCACTTATCTAGTCTAAAAGATGAGGGGGAAAATCCTACTGAAGGGTTTGGCAGGAGCAGAGGGAGTGGGGGTTGACCCTGAGTTAGAGTGAGAGACCCCAAGTTTGGCCCACACCCCACAGAAAGCAAACTCAAGAGAGAGTTCCACTAGATTGTTTGTGATGTTCCTTCTAACTCTTTAAATTCTGTGTGTGGCTTCATTTTACTTATTTTTTGCTGGGAAAAATTCTCCCTGAGTACACAGTTGTATGTTCTAGTTTTAGGTCCTTCTAGTTCTTCTATGTGAGCTGCTGCCACAGCATGGCTACTGACAGACGGGTGGTGATGTTCTGTGCCCAGGAACTGAACCCAGGCCACTGAAGCAGAACGCGCCAGACTTTAACCATTAGGCCATCAGGGCTGGCTCGTGGCTTCACTTTAATTCAACAGACACCAAGTGCCCCATGAGCTAGGTCCCAGAGGATATCAGGATGGTCCCTGCAGTCAAAGAACTTAATGCTCACTTGATTTTGGGGGCTACCTGAGGGCAAGGCCATGGCCAAGTCTCTTGGTATGGCATCAGGCATGCAGGTATGGGGGAAGGGCCAATTTCCAGTCTCATCAAAGGGAGACTGGATGCAACCCCCTTTATTCCTTCCCTCCTTGACCAGCATGTTGGAGGGTGCCCCAGCCCCTCCTAATTCAATCCGACCTTCAGTTTACCTGCCCTCTCTAAATTCTCATCACCCACTCCCACCTTCTTGCATGTGCTTCCTCCCTTGCTACCTATCTCAGCGTTAGAATCCACTGCTGAGCAGTCTGAAATTTGGATTTCACAGGTCTCTCCAGGCCCCCGCTGCACTAATCTTCATCTCTCTGACTGCTACCCTTGAGGCACTGCTGGCTCTGTCTCCAAGGCCTCAGGCTTGAGCTTTCCTCTCCTTTACCCTCTCAGCCTCCCTGTTGGTGACACTGCACTTCCCAACTCTCTTTGCCATTTAAGCTCTTAGAGTGCCCCTAACCCATCTTCAGTCCTTACTACTCAATCCTTACTATTCACTGGCTGCTAATCCTCTATCTCCACCACCCTGAAAAATACTTCATTCAGCCCCACTGTTCTACCAACCCTTCTATTTCTCTTTTCATTCACGGCCACACTTGAGTGACTGGTATATCCTCCACCACCTCCATGGTGTCACTGTCTGTTCCTGTAAACCTTGCACACTCCTTTCCCCATTACTCTCAGTTATTTCTCTCTTTAGACACACATTTATTTGTATTCTCTACCAGAATGTAAGCTCCATGGAAGCAGGGATTTTAAATTTTTATTTACTGCTACCTCTCCAGCTCCTCCATCAGCGCCTGGCACACAGTAAGCCCTCAAATATTTGTGGAAGAATGAATGCCGTGTCTTCCACCCTTGTACTGTAAGCTCCATGAGGAGGGGGCTTTGTTTCGATGTTATATCCTCAGTGCCCGGCACAGTGCCTGGCACCTGGGAGGCACACAAATATCTGTTGAAGTAGCAAATGAATCCAGTTGCCAGGCAAGTTACAGGATTTTTTTTTTAATGCTGCTTTGTCTGGTTGATATTGTTTGCATATTGTCTTTTGCATCCATCCCTTCCTGCTGTTACCTCACACCTGGGCTTTACAATCACCTCCTTTACAGCGCTGCAGCTAAAATCCATCCTGCATGCTCACGCCAGATTACTTTCCTAAAGTAATAGTTTGATATTGCTCCTCTGCTCAAAAACTTTCAATGCGTCCCCATTGTAGTTTCGCAGGTACAAACAGGTGGTGTTGCAGAAGCTCATCTGTCAGCTGGCTGTTCTGAACAGCGGACATTTCCCACTGACACACCAACACTCACCTCAGATCACATAAGTGGATATTTCTATAAAGTTTCTGTCTATCTATCAACCATAACACAGCTCCAGTCACTGAATTGTAGTTTAAATAAATGCAAAACAATGTTTCTAGAGGAAATGTGCTCAGTTTCATTTTTGGGATGCCAGGCACATATCCTGGCCCATAGGGAATTCCCCCTCAAAGCCAAAATTGATGATTCTCACAGGCTGTGACAGCAGCTGTCTAAATACACCTGTCATTCAAGGCTCTCTAAATTCCAATTCCATCATGAAATCTTAGGATGAAATCTCTCCCCCTCATTGTGGCTAAAAATAGCTCTCCTCCTCTGAAGTCTAGACTGCTTATTTGACAGCTATTTTATCTACTGTGTTGTCTTGTATTTTTAATTCCTCATGAGTATGTCTTATCTCTGATGATACTGTAAGCTCCCGGAGGGAAAAGGCTCTATTCTGCAATCTGTGGCACATCATAAAAAGCATGCCTTAAATAGTTACTGAATAAATGAAGTAATGCCTATTGCTTTCCAGAAGACACAGGCAGGCAAATCAGGAATCTGGTCTTTATAATGGCCAATTCTGCTCTATTTCTCGAAAGTATCCTGCAGCCCTGCTATCAGGAGGCTGCCTTGGGAATGTGTATGAGAGTCTACAATAGGAAATGGCTGCAAGTATGAATAAGTCCGTGCAAAATGACCTTGGTTAGCAGCATTAGTTACTGTTTATCACATGCCTATAGGTGCCAGGTAATTTACAAACATCTCTAATCCTCCCAACTACTCTGTGAGCAAACTGAGGCTCCGAGACACTGTGAGGTGACATCCAAAATCTCAAATCTTTTAAGGGATGGAGTCAGGATTTCAAAGCTAGCAATTGAACCCAAGTCTCTCCGACTCCAGAAGATGTGGAGTCATCTCCTGCCGCACTGACTGGTCAGGGTTGAGTGTGCTTGGCTGGTGGCTGCACTGAGGCTTCCTTCTTCCCTAAAACTGCTGGATCAAAGGGGGTCCCACCAGCCCTTCCCGGACCAAGAAGGACCGTTTTCCAACAGGCATATGAGCATATGAGCAGTTCCTCTCCCAGCCCGTACCTTCAGATTGTAAGCCCATGTTCTTTTGACATCACCACACTGATTCTCAGCTCCTGGAAAACAACTCAAAGCTGGAGTCAGACACTCCATGTGCTGTTGGAGGATCTTCCCTGCAACACTGCTGATAGTAACAAAGCACTATAAACAACATGAATGCCTGTCAACGGCAGAGTGGTTAAATTATGGTACAACCATATGATGGAGTACCATCCCATGCAGCTGCAAAATGACCATGTCTAAAGAGAAAAGGCAACGTACATAGGCACATATACATATATGTGTTTGGGTAGGCACAGAAATTCATTAAAGGATATTTATTCATTCAACAAATATGTTTTAAGCATTTTAAGGTATCCAAGAAACTTCTTAACAGGATTACCTACAAGGAGTGGGTCTGAAGGAAAAATAGTAACTTGTACTTTTTGGTAAGCTTCTGTACATTTCTTTTTAAAACTATGAGCATTTTTTTTTTTGGTGAGGAGGACTGTCCCTGAGCTAACATCTGTTGCTGATCCGCCTCTTTTTGCTGAGGAAGATCGTCCCTGAACTAACATCTGCGCCAGCCTTCCTCTTTTTTGTATGTGGGACCCCCGCCACAGGGTGGCTTGATGAACGGCGCTAGGTCCGTTCCCGGGAACCAAACCTGCGAACCCAGGACGCCCAAGGGTAGCACGTGTACTTAACCACTACGCAACCGGGCCGCCCAAGCATTATTTTTTATAACGTCAAAATAAAAAAAAAAAAAAGGAAGTTTGATAAAACAAGTAGAAATATCCAACAGGCACTTGACTGGAAAGGGGCAGGGCTATGAAGAATTAAAAAATCTTCTCTACAATTCTATCAGGTTGGCAGTAGGAGCATCCTATTTTTAGGGCAGGTGGGAACTTACTCTAAAACGGAAAAAAAACGGGCTGATGATACACCAAATACCGCTTAACTTCTGGCGGCCCCGGTCCTCCTACCCACACGACTCTGAGATGTGTATCTGTAGGCGGTGTGAAATTGAAGCCGAGGGAGCTGCTGCCTTCCGTCTCCGGGGTGCCTCTGACACGCCGGGTCATGCATCTCCCGGGCTCAGCGTCGAGGTGCACGGGACTCTGAATCTGGAACCACCCTCCCCACGTTACCAAGCAGGCAACTCAGGCTCCCAGAGGTCAAGGGCTAGGATGCGATTCGACCCAGCGCCGACCTCAGAGGCCGCACTCCTAACACGCAGCGCTCCGGCAAGCGACTCCTGGCCCGTAACCCTCGGCGTCCATCTCGAGGCCCGGGACGCGGTCGGCGCCGCAGCCCGCACTCCGGAGGCGGCGTCCACGCGGAAGGGGCGGAGCGTCCGAGTCCTGTCTCTAGACACCGGGAGATCGGCGCAAGCCCCGCCCCCACGGTCACTGCGCGCCCGTCCTTTCCTCTCCGCAGCGCCGGAGGGTCTTGAAGATGAAGCAGCGAGTTCGTCCCGGGCCACATCCGGGCGTCTCCGGCCCTCTTGGCTTCTTTCACTTAGAGCTCGACAGCAGCTCGGCTCTCCGAGCCCTCGGGGCCGCGCGAGCAGCGGCGGCGACGTTGGCCGAGGAGACGCGAAGCCGGCAGGCCGCGCCCGCGGGACTGTGCCGGGGCGCATGCGCGATGCATGAGCGCGGAGAGGGCGCGGCTGGATGCGGCTGCGGCTGCGCAGAGGCGGTGCCAGGCGCTGCGCCTGCGCAGTGGCGGGGCGGGGCGGGAAGGAGGGAGGCGGCGGCAGCGGCGGCGGCTGCTGAAGAGGAGGAGGAGGGGGAGCCGAGGGAGGTGTTTCTGTCAGTTCCGGCTGTTTGTTCGGGAAGTGGATCCGCCGCTGCCGGAGCAGCCCGGAGGGAGCTGCGGATCGCGAGGCCAGCACCGACCCCGCCCGCCCGCGCGCGCCTCCCCCGCCCGCCATGGCCCGGGACTACGACCACCTCTTCAAGCTGCTCATCATCGGCGACAGTGGTGAGGGCCGCGGTGGCCAGAGGCGGCGTGGGCCCTGCCGGGCGCGGCCCGCGGGGGCCTCGGGGCGGGCAGGCGGGTGGGGAGGTGCCGGCCCGCGCGGGGCGGGCGGGCGGGGCTGCCCGGCAGCCGCCGGCCCCAGGGGCGCGCCGAGGGGCCGGGGCCGCGCCGAGGTGAGGTTGGGGCACCGGGCTGCGGAGCTGGGGGGCCGGGCGCGCGGGGGTCGGGGCCAGGCCGCCGGGTCCGCTCACCGCGCCCGCCCCGGGCTCACGTGTGACCTTGGTCAAGTCGCGCGATTTCTGGAGTTGGAGAGCCCCGGGTTCGGGTCCGGGGACTCCCAGCTTCCTCACTCCGTGACCTTGGGTGAGTTGTTTCGCCTTTCTGAGCCTCAGTTCCGTCGTCTGAGAAGTGGGGACTTGCCTCGCTGTGGTGTGAGTATTGGGCGAGATAAGGCTGAAAAAGTGCTTAGCACCCGACCTGGGGTAAAGTAAGCTCTCATTGGGCGTTAGCTAGTGATGGGGTCATCCGTACCCTTTGTAAGCCTCAGTTTCTTCCTCTGTAAAGTGGGGCTATTCCCAGAACCTGCCTAGTGGGATTACTGCGAGGTTTCAACGAGGTAAGGCCGGTAAAGCATCTCGCACAGGGCCTGGCACATTCCTGCTGAATTGCTCTCTCTCTGTGGTTCGTTTCCTCATCTGTGAAATGGGGTAATGGTAGAATCGGCCTCACTGGGCTGGCTGAGTGTTCAGTGACATAACGCACACATAGTGTTCGGAACCGTGCCTGGCACACAGTGAGTGCTCAGGACGTGTTTGCTGTTGCACACTGTGTACTAGACGGTACTGGAGGTGGGTCACTCACTACTAGGAAAGGGCTTTGACGGGATATATACTTGTGGAGGCCTCCTAGTTCGGTGCCCAGCTCTGTCTCCAGTGCCTAGTGCAGTGCCTGGCACCCAGCAGGTGCCTAGTACATGTTGAATGAATGAATGAATACTACGTGTCCTTAGAACAGGTAGGCTGGTTTCTGGGAAAGGGTGCAGGGTTTTAGAGGTGTTTGGAGTGTGGCAGGTAAGCAGGTTTATGGGGTGACCAAGAGGTCAGGGAGGCAGGCCCTAGGAGGTTTATGGGAGCATAGCTGAGGTGCTGGGGTTATATGATGGGGAAGGAGGCTGGGGAGCACGCCAAGTTTATAGACCAGACCTGAGTTGAGTGTGGGCAAGGGGTCATGTGACTAGAGGCAGAAGCCAGGTTGGTGGGGGAGCCTGTGGGTTGTTAAGGAAGGAGGGGACCAAATGAAAGCCGTAGTGAGACCCTGACGTAGGAGTGCTAGGTTTCACCGTCATCGCTGGGCCAGGGAGGTGGGTGGGTTTTGGTCTCACTGTGGAGCTGGATTGGGATGTGGTTGGTGGTTTGGATCAGGTGAAGGATGGCTGAGGTTTCCGTGGTTACTGGTGGAAGAGAGAGGTAAGGGGAAAAGTTAGGGGCTAACTAGGGAGATGAAGAGTAGCTGTGCTTGGGAAGGAGTCAGAAAGGTGGAGGACAGATTCATTGTGGTTTGAATGAAAGAAAACCAGACGAACTGTGTAGGCTTGCTCTTGGAGATGGCCTCTGGCATGCCCCAGGGCTCTGAGGCCTATGCCTTTACACGATTTGATTTCAGCCCTGGCCTTGGTTCTGAGGGGCTTGGCACCAGTATGATTTCTCTCCTTTTGAAGTTAAAGTCAGCCCACCTAAAGGTCAGGGGTCCTTATTCCTCTACAAGACATCTGGGGCCTGTGTGTCCGTCTCCAAAAATGAAAAGCATAAACTGTACATGAAGACGCAGCTTATTGGCTTTTCTCCCCTGTGGAACCCAGGGGATGGTTTTGGCCCCCATCTCACAGTACATTTGCGTGGTGTATTGATTTTTCACTCTGAAGTCAGGTGTGGGAGAAGACTCGCTGGGTCGAGATGGATGTAGTCTGGCTCCTAGTTCAGTCTGAGCATGTAGGACTGCGTTGTGCAGAGGAGACAGACGCTCTGCAGTTTAATTTCTCCTGATGATGAGCTGTTACTCAAAGCCGAGAGCTTCTGAGACTGGGAGATGTTAGCCATGGAAGTTGAAACTAAGCCTTGGTGACTGAGCAAGGACACCAACATCGTGCACTCCCCTGAACTGGGCTCCTTCTGTGGCTGCTTCCTTAAGGTTTATCAAATGATTTCACAGACACTTTCTCGTCTGGTTCTCATCCATAGCCTGTGTAGTTTGTCAAATAAGGAAACTAAGGCTCAGAGGAGCTGACTGACTTGCCCACAGTTGCACAGCTTGTCAGAGGCAAAGCCAGGAGTTAATGCACATTGATGCTATGTGTGAGCAGCTGGTGTCAGGCCTGGCAAACAGTAGGCCCTCAATGTTAGTTTCTTTCTTTGTAAATCTAGAGTTCTTCTTCCCACCCTGCCGCTTGTACACACTTCTGGAATACGTTCTCTCAGCTTTTACAGCTCTTCTTTATGCCTGAGGGTCTACATTTTCTCTTCCCTTGTGACATTGGCTTCGCTTTGTAACAGCGTTGCATCTGATCCATGGGGCTGGCCATCCTCCTTCTTAGAACCTGGAGGCTGGAGTGGCTGTCGGAGATCTGGTGAAAGCCTTCACTTCACAGATGAGTGAACTGCGGCTCCGGGGAGGGGGGAGTGACTTGTCTGAGTTATACAGTGAATTAGTTGCTGAGCCAGGATTAAAATTGAGGACACTTTACTCGAAGGTCTAACGGTCTTCACCAGTCTAGAACTGAAGCAAAGCGGCGTGAGGGAACTACAGCCCAGGGAAGAGCAGGGCCGAGGGTGGGGACTTCTGTGCAGGCTTTGAGGAGCAGAGGATCTGTGTGGGCCAAGAGGCAGGCAGGGGAGAGAGGGTGTTTGATGCAGGCAGAGCAGTGATGCAGAGTGGCATGTATGGTTTTTGCAGAATCAATCTTTGTCTCCTGGCCACCAAGAGGCATCGAGGGCCCAGGCCCGTGCTCCTCGCAGGGAAAGGACACTGGGCTGGGCTGGTTGGGTTTCCTGCCAGATGCGGCTCATGGGAAGCTGTTGATTGGCTGTGGTGAAGGTGGATTGGTACCTATCACTCCCTTCCCTCCGCCGGTGCTGTGGGGTGAATGGTGGCAGCGTGCTTCCCCAGGGATGTTTAGGAGCTGGCGTTTCTCAGGGTGGGTTTCTGTTCCTGTTAAAGGGACGAGCAGTGCTGGAGGTTGGTGTCAGGCCCAAAGCAGCAGTGAGTGTGGTGACTGTAGTGGCCTTTGTAGCCTGGCGGTTTTCAGCAGCTCTGCCGTGGAGCCTGGGGGTGAAGGAAGGGGCCCCGGGGAGGCCAGGGAACGCTGTGCCTCATTGCCTCCTGTGGAGAGAGCACTTCCCCCTTGTCTGTTTTGGGTATACGGGAGTCAGATAAAGTGTAATTTAAACAAAGGATTCTTGGCCCCCAAAGTCTGAACCACTGCTTTGGCTCCTGTTAATGCTGCAGTTATAGGGTTAGATAACACAGCTGCCAGTGCAATTGGCATTCATTTAGTCATAAATTCATTCAACAGTGCACCTACTAAGTGCTGGGCCCGGCTTCCAGCACTGTGGATGTCCAGGGTGAGTGAGGCGAGATCTCCTTCCTGGAGGGACTCACAGCCTGGCGGCCCAGACACGAGCTTTTAGCTGAGTAAGCAGACCCAGAAGGCCCCGGGAGGAAGCAAAGGGGCCGGCAGGGCCGGTGGGGTGTTGGCGTCAGGCAGAGCCGTGAGGGACCCAGCCCAGGACTTGGGCTCTCCTCAGGCTCAGCAGGAAGCCTCGCAGAAGCAACGATGAGGAAGTGGCTCTGAGCGAGAGCACTGCAGGCCCAGGGCTGAGCTGCAGGTCCTGCGGGTACAGCTCCGGTGTGCTCAGAGCCGCTCCCCCAGCCTGTCGCTGGGAAGGTAAGACCCAGATTTTCACCATGAAACAAGTTTTTCTGGGCATCCCTGGACAACTCACTCACTTGGAGAAGTCCCTGGAAGAGATCCTCCAAGAAGATTGCCCAGAGAGGATGTCTGGGCTTAGTTGGGTTTAGAGAAACACAGCTGGGGATGGGGGCAGAGGCAGTGCTTTCTCTGAGGATCTGATGAACGCTGCGGGCTCCTCCCCACAAATATGCACAGATACTCAAAATTCACACTTAGCTTGGGGCGTTTCTGAGCATCTAGGTTAAGATCTCCTCATAACCAGCTTTCATAGCGCTGCGGCTGCACATCTAGCAGGAGTGAGATGCAGCAGCCCCTTTGGGGTCTTTTTATTCCATGTCCTGAGACAGATGCATGATGACTCCCCAAGCAGGATGTATTGGAAAGAGCTAAGAGTTCGGGCGGGCGTAGACAGCCCTGGATTCAGATCTCAGCTCCACGCTTCCTGCAGAGGCACCCTAGGCCAGCTGCCTCGCTTCCTGGAGCCTCAGTTGCCTCTTTAGAGATGCGGTTGGAATTACAGGAGGGTTGCAGTGCCCACCACACACAGTGCTCTGTGCATGCTAACGCTTTCCTTCTGTGGCCAGTTGACCCAGCTGGCTTTTGGCCTTAGGGGTGGCTGGGGTAAGGGGATGGGACAGGAGGACACAGGATAGGTGCACCTTGGCGGGCTAAAGCTGCTCTGTGTTGAAGTAAAGGGAAGCCAAGCTTATGAGGTTCCGCCTGTTCTTGGAACAAGTATGCCAGGTGATGCTGTAGCAAGTGAAATGGTCTGAGCTTATGTGAGCTGTTGGGCTGATAGGTGTAAGGTAGACACGCCCTTTCTACCCCTCCAGTGGGTGGAGACATCAGCCAGGGGAAGACGGCTGACAGTTGGTTTGGGTTGTCTGGGCCTCAGTTTCCTCACCTGCAAAATAGCCTGATGACCTCAAGGGTTCTTTCCAGCTCTACAATTCCTCATCTCACATTGCACACGAACTGAAGCTCCACACATGAAGGGCAGTTTTCGAGGGACCATGTTTTAGACACGGTTTAGGGCAGTGCCATTTGGTTGACCTTCCCCTTGCTTTATTTCTGTCGTCTGGTATCTTCCTGTGGGTTGCTGGGGCTAGCCCTCAGTCCGGGGTCTGGGCACGAACCCTTTCTCATCTCTCCCTGGGGATTTGGGGGCAGCTTGTCTTACACTAGGACGGAGGAAAAGGTCAGAGATTGAGTGGGAGAGCTGTTCTTGGTGTGGAACGGGCTGGGGAGATAAAAAACAGCATTGAGGAGGGAGATGGGTCTTGCTGGGCTTCTTAGGAGTTAGGACCTGGGAATCACATCCCCGAAGGATTGGGGTTGGAGGGGGACCAGTGCCTCCTCTCATTGCCTGCTTCCTCTCTTGCAGGTGTGGGCAAGAGCAGTTTGCTGTTACGTTTTGCAGACAACACTTTCTCAGGTGAGTGGGCCCCTGGGGTGCTGCTGGGATGTTTTGGTTATAAGATCCCTTTCTCTGGTGCCAGAACACACTTACCTCTGCCTAATGTCACAACTGTCCTCATTCTGATTGCCAGAGAGGGAAGGAGCAGCAAGAGAGGCGTAGGTTAGAAGTCTCCGTGGTCGGTCTTTATCGTGTTCAAAAAAATCCTTTTGCGGGCCCATCCTTTTTCCACCCAGGGTCTTTTTGTGCCCTAACATTTAAAAAAGAAAAACAAAATTAAAGAAATGTTACAAGTTAGTATATGCTTATATAAAATTTCAAACAGGAGGACTCAGTAAAGTGAAAAATGAAAGCTTCGCTTCACCTCCTCCCCACCCCCCTGCCCTGGTAGCCTCTGTTCCGAGTGGTGTGTATCTTTCTGAGCATGTGTAGCCGTGTGTATCTCTCTGACGTTTTTCTCAACTCCGCATGCGGTTTGGCAGCGACCTGCCTTCCCCTCAGCACATCAAGCGTCATCCTTCCACGTCTCTGTGCAGCCCTCTGGGTCTTTTGAATGGCTGTGGAGTTTCCTGGGCCGTGCGTGGATGCCCCTCAGTCAGTAACAGTGCTCTTGGTATGTGTGCGCTTTCTGGCTGCATCTGTTTTAGGTGATGCTGCATTACTTGGGATACATTGTATGTTTATTCTTGTAAAGAAGCTGAGTAACTAGGTCAGGGCGTATGTGCGTTTAAAATTTTCATGGGTACTGCCAACTCGCCTTCCAAGAAGTTAACTGACACTCCCACTGAAGGGGTCGAAAGTGCCCCTTGTCAACTCTGATCAGTGCTGGGTCTCAGTAGTCTTCATTTTTACTAAGCCGATAGGCAAAAAGTGCTGTCTTGTTTAAAGGTGTATTTCCCTGATCCCTGGTGAAGCTGGACGTATTTTCATTTGTTGAATCCATCAGGTTCATTGCAGAGGCTTCGGCTTGGATTGGCCTCTCTGATCAAGGTCTGAGATGTGACTGTCTTGTGGGGAATTCCCTATGATGTGGTTGAGGAGTGAGCTACAAATTGGAAGTGATTACATGGCCAACGCCTCTGTCTTGGTGGAGCGGTGGGTTTCTCCCCACAGTAGCTCTGCAGCACCGCTGGTGGTGTGATGTTGGAAAGAGTTGTCTTCCCTGTGTGACCGTGAGCGTGACTAAGTCTCAGCTTGTCTGTAAAGTAGGACTAATCATCGTCCCTCCCACATGGGCTATTGCATGGATTACCTGAGATAGCGCAAGTCACTGTGTCTGGGACTAAGTAATCTCTCAATAAATACAATCTCCCAATAAATGTTTCTGTCTGTTTAAGAATGGCAACTAATGGGCAGCTTCTCATTATGCTGGGAAGCATTCCTCTTCCTCCTTAGGTCCCTCTTACTCCCCGTCCTATGAGCTTTCGACTCCTGGAGGGTTCTCTTTTGCACTCTCTCTCCTCCTTTCCGTTTCTGCTACCAGGGTCTTAGTTCAGACCATTGTTGTTCTAGCCTGAAGCATTTCAGCAGCTCCTGCCCATCCCACACCGGACTGCAGAGTTCGCCTGCTAATGCACGTCTCTGGCAGGGTCTGTTCTCTGTTGTAATGCTGCAGCCACCCTCTCTTTTGTGAGCAGAGTTTATAGCAAGGTTTCTCCACTTCAGCACCGTTGACACTTTGGGCCCATAATTCTTCATTCTGGGGGCTGCTCTCTGTGTTGAAGGATGTTGAGCTAGATGCTGGTAACATTGCCACTGCCCACCCCCGCCCACTTGTGATCATCAAAAATGTCTCTAGACATTGCCAAGTGTCCTCTGGGGGCACAGTCATTCCTGACTGAAAACCACTGGTCTTCACGATCTCTTTTCAGCTCAACGTTCTGACTTCCTCTCTCGTGCTGTTAGTTCATTCTTGTCTTTTCGTGCGCTCGCTCTCTCGCACGCTCCCTCATTCAGCCAGCAGCTGTTTATTGAGTGCCTGTAGCACTAGGTGCGGGGCCACCTTCCTTGGCATTATCCAGAGCTCGCGGAGCACCAGATGCTGTCTTCTTTTTGGAATGTATTCTCTCTCTGCTTGTGCCTCAGCTCTTTTGCTCTGGGTGGATGTCTTTCCCTACCTCATTTCATCCTTTGAAATTGTACCTATTCTGTCAAGCTAGGCCCAAATGTGACTTCTTCCCCAAAGCCTTCCTTGATCTCCACCCCACCTTGAACTTTGACCTTTCATATATCCTTTCCGTACCTCATACAGTCACTGTGTGTGACTTATCTGTGGCACTGTGTATACTGTAAGCTCCTAATGGAGCGAGAATGTGTGTTCTTAGCATTTGGGGCTTTGTAAGCCTAGACAGGACTGTTACATTGGCCAAAAATCCTCTTCAGCTCCATCTTTCACACAGTTGCCCCAAGAGAGCTGTTTACAATGCAGCTCATGCTCTGGGTAAAACCCTTCAATGCCTGCCTGTCACACGCAAGAGAAAGTCCACACTCTCTAAAGTGGCACAAAGGCCCTGAGATCTGGCTTCGCCGCGCCCCCCCCCCCCCAGCCTCTAACTGTGTGCTTGACCTCACATGACCCCCACCCATTGCTGGGTTTGCTGCTGTCTTCTCTGCCTGGAGCAGCGTTTTGCAGGTCTGACTTGTGTATTAGGAAGTTAATTTTGTGGGTCGTTTAAAATGTTTGGAATAGAATAGAAAACAAAAACCCCAAGTGCATCATAGGCCTCCCACCATTCTCAGACCACAGCTAACATGTCCCTGCCCCTCCCAGTAAAGGAACCTGTCCCCGCCCCTCAGTCACATCACCTGTTTTATCTCCTTTGTGGCGCTCATCACTCTTGAAATTGTCTTCTTATACCACTTTGTTTCATTGTATCCTGCCTGTTGCCCTCACCTCAACTGTGGGCTCCATCGGGGCAGGGACCTTGTCTTTCTTGTTCAGGGCTGTGTCCCTGAGACCTTGAAAGTGCTGGGCACAGAGGGAGTGGGGAGGGATCGTGGAGCCCGGGGTGGCCTGTGCAGTTTAGGACACGCACGGTCTGACGGGACACCCAGGGGCCTTGCTAACGTGCGTGTGTGTGCAGGCAGCTACATCACCACAATCGGTGTGGATTTCAAGATTCGGACGGTGGAGATCAATGGGGAGAAGGTGAAGCTGCAGATCTGGGACACGGCGGGGCAGGAGCGCTTCCGCACCATCACCTCCACGTGAGTCAGGCCTGCTCCCATTCTGACCCCTCGCCACTGACATTTGGATACTGTTGAGAGACTAGTCCCGGGTCGTGGGAGAAATGTCACTGGGATGGGTCCTGAGGCTGTCAGGAGGTGAGCTCCTTGCTGGCCGCAGTGGGTGCTGTCGATCTGAGCCCTTCCTCTTCCTGAAGATGCATGAGGAGGAGGGGACAAGGTGTGGCTGCTGCCTGTGGGTGAGCAGTGGCTGAGCCCCCTGGCTCTGGGGGCTGTCGGGACAGTACGCGTCTGTCAGCTTACCCCCTGGCCTTCAGGTCCTTTGTCTGTAAAATGGGATAGCAGTGATACTGGCTTCACCAAGTGGTCAGACACTTAGCCAATAACAGCTACTCGTTAGGTATCAGTTGTGACCCCTAGGGTCGGCCATGCAGGCTCCCATCACCCACTGTGACTTCTTGGAGGTGGCTTCTCTCTGCTGGAAGGAACACTGATACATCAGAGGCCCTTGAGAGGCCCCTCCTCTGCCTCCCCAAAGCTGTTTCCTGGGAACCTGGCTCACCTAGAGGGTTGGCCTCCTTTGCTGCTGCAGCACCTCTGTGCTTAGCTGCAAACAGGAGGAAATCCCAGCTGGAGCTCCAGACCGCAGGAGTCCTGTGGAGGGGCTCTTGGTTCTTGGACTGTTAATGGAACAGGTTCCAGGACAGAGCAGGGCTTGGAAGGCAGACAGTTTGGAATTTACATTTCTGTTCTACTGTGTGACCTTGGGCAAGTTGCCTAAAATCTCTGTGCTTCAGTTTCCCAGAGGATTTACCTTTAGGATTTGCTTTAATGCTGTGTCCTGTGTCCCAGGTACTCTGTGCTTGGGCCTCTCATGGATGATCTCATTGAGCTCTCGATGCTCTCTGCAGTCGATACTATTATTATCCCCGTTTCACGGATGAGGGAACCTCAAGCGGGGTCCTGCTCCCAGTGAAGGGCAGAGCCTGAGCCCCACCTCGGGATGTATGCAGAGTAGCAGCTGGTGTCTGGCTGCCTGTAGTAGTTGCGTCTTCGGTGGCCTCTCCTTTCCCTCCCCAGCAGTTCCTGTGTGAGTGGGGGCTCCTGGGAAGGTATGTGAGGAAGTTCTCTGGCCAGAGAGCCCTTTCCTCCCTCAGCACGGAAACGGGGCCGACCCAGGCTGGCTGCCCATCCCGAGGCCCCTCAGGATCTTCTGAGGGATGGGAAGTGCGAGGGCTGAAGAGACCCCCTTGGGGTGGCTGGGAATGTGGGGGGACTGCAGCGGGTGCTGGCTGAGTGTGGTGGGGGGATAGGCCCGGTGGGTGGGCGGCCCTGGTCAGGGAGGTTTCAGGGGCTGGAGCCTGAGCAGTGCTGAGCAGGAGGGGCTTCTGTCATTGGGTAGCCCTGTAGTGCGCATGTGTGCCGTGGTCAGTGACCTCCCAAGACCCCAGGGGTCCCCATCCTGGGGGCTCCCTGGCTCCGCTCTCTGTGACACTTGCTGATGAGCCGCCTGAGCTCCCCTGTATCTCAGCAACTGCCAGCGAGGCCCTGAGGAGGGCGGCTGGGTCAGAGGCTCCTTGGGGTAGGACAGATATCACGAGCTCTGGGTGGCCCGAGTGTCCAGGCCTGAATGAGACCAAGACCTCTTGTGAGGGTCTGGAGGTCTGGGCACTGACCCCACACGTCCTTACTCTTGGTTGGGACTGTTGCTAAGGACTTTACCTGCTTCATTTCAGTTAATCCTCACTGGACAAGAAAACCGAGGCCCAGAGGGTGAAGTGACTTAGCTTGGTCAGTTAGTCAGGAGTTGAATTGAGGTCTTTCTGATGCCAAAGCTCTTGCCTTTGCCTAGTCCACAGCCCTGCTCGCTGCTGGCTTCCTACCCCTGAGGGAGCGGGGCTGGGGCAGAGGGCAGGCGCTCCAGTGCCTCCTGTCGGTTGAAACCAGTCAGGGAATCCAGGGCTGGCTGAGAACATTGGGCCTACGGCCACGGGAAATGCTTCAGGGAGGGCAGTGGGGCCTGGGCTGCCTGGGCCCTTTTGGCAGAGCAGCCCCAGCCCTCCCTGGGCCGCCGTGAGGTCAGCTCCTCTCGGGGCGGGAAGGGGTGAACTGCCTCCTGCATCCTGTTGGGGACACTGGAGCTGCTCAGCTGCCCGAGGGCACTCTGTGCGCTGGTGGCCTCTGGGCACCGGGGCAGCCCCATCCTGCCTGGCTGTCTGGGGAGGCTGAGGTAGCCCCATCTTGGGGTCCCTGACTCTGCCCCTCATGAGGCAAGAGTCACTGCAGGTCATGCCCAGGGGCTGCGGAGAGACTGGACGCCCTGTGATGGTAGCTGGCAAAGAAGGAAGGAGTCTTGACGAGTTTAGGAGTTTGTTTTCTTTTTAGGGATTGGGGCAGTCAGGGTGCAATAGTGTGGCCTTTTCTGATTCGGGGCATTAAAAGAGAAACTAAAACTGCATGCTGTTAGCCTGATGAGAAAGAGCCCTGTGTCACTCCCTCATAGTTTGTCTCTCAGTAGCTGGAGTTTGCTGACCACTGAGGTGTGGCTGGTGGGTGGGTTGGGGAGGAGTGAGTAGTGAGGTGTTGGATGGTGAGGTGAGAGGAGGAGATGATGAGGAAGGAAAGCCCCTTCGATACCTGGCCCTGGATCCAGGAGTTGGACCTGGCCTGGTGACTTCCAGCTGTGTGACTTCAGGCAGGTCACTCCACACACCCTCACGTCCTCACTGGTAAAATGGCGACCCTCATGTCTGTCAGACGAGGGTGTGGCAAAGATTAATAAGGTGGTGGATAGAAAACGCTAGGCCTGGCATAGAACTAGGTTGTCGTGAGTGGAAGTGATCACTGGTGGCAGTGGTCACAGGAAGCCCAGAAGCACTGGTGCTCTCCTTGCTGGAGCTCTGAGCCCCTGACCTCATCCCCAGACCATTCTCTGTCTTGGATAACGTCGCCCTGCCTGGGCCCCAGAGAAAGCGGAGGTTCCCAGGGAGCAGCGGGGGCTTTGGGCTGGGGCCGTGGCTGTAGGCATTTCTTCGCATCTTCAATAGTCTTCAGCAAAGGAGAATTTGGAAATGCATTCCACTGCTTGCATTGCCTTGCTGTCAGGGGACAACTCTCTGTCCCCCTGGTTCCCAGCATGCATTCCTGCACCCGCTCAGGTGGGTGTCCAGCAGGGTGAACCAAGTGATGACCTGGCACTCCCAGCAGCAGCTGCTGGAGGGCAGGGGGCAGGCGCAGGGCCGAGAGCTGGCTCTGAGGGCCCAGTGCCCAGATGAGCACTTAGACAACGGGATAGTTAGGGCTCCCCAAGGCAGGAGGTGGCGCTGTGTCCCTGAGAAGCAAAGCTGTGGGCAGATTGAAGCCCCTGGGACATCTCAGCAGGTGTCTGGGGGGTGGAGAGATGGGTCGAGGGGACAGGTTGGGCTTGACCCCAGAGTACAGCAGGGCTTCTCTTGCTGGAAGCCTTGGTAGCCAGATCAGGGAAGCTGCCTTCACCGCTGCTCTGCTGTCCCCTGGTTTGCTTCCACCTGTGTCAGGGGCCTCAGATTGTCATGGAAGGAATATTAATAACGATATAAAGAGCCACCATTCCTTGACCGTTTGCTGCTTGCCGGCCCTTGTGAAAACATGTGTTATCTCCTTTATTCCTCACAGCCACCCCGAGAGTTCAGTACAGGCATCCCCATTTTATTTTATTTACTTATTTATTTATTTTTATTTTTTTAAAGATTTTATTTTTTCCTTTTTCTCCCCAAAGCCCCCTGGTGCATAGTTGTATATTCTTTGTTGTGGGTCCTTCTAGTTGTGGCATGTGGGACGCTGCCTCAGCGTGGTTTGATGAGCAGTGCCATGTCCGTGCCCAGGATTCGAACCAACGAAACACTGGGCCGCCTGCAGCGGAGCGCGCAAACTTAACCACTCGGCCACGGGGCCAGCCCCGGCATCCCCATTTAATAGTTGAGGAAACTGAGATGTGATGTGGCGCATGCAGTAACCTTCCCAGGGTCCCACAGCCTTTCAGAGATGGAGGCTTTTGTCCTGTGGTTGGGCCTAGGATGTGAAGAGTTGGCCAGAGAGCCAGTGGGCAGGCAGGTGAAAACATAGCTGCACCCCCCAGCCTGGCCGGCTCCATCCTTGCTAAGCCCGTGGGGCTCAGAACTGCCGCTCGGAGGACCTGTGGCTCACGGGCCAAGTGCCCAGGCGCTGATAAGCCAAGGCAGGTGGAGGTGCTTGGAGTTGGGCCAGGTGGCAGCCAGCGGGTCAGGTGGAGGCAGCCTGTCCACTCAGGAGCGTGGCCTCTTGCAGGCAGTGGTTCTTACCCTTGTGCTCAGAAGCCCCTGGTGAGGAGAATCTGCAGCTCTGGGTGATTACACAGTGTCGGGGCAGGGAAGGCTCTCCGGGAGTGTGAGGCCCTGACCTTGTCTTCCTCCCGGAGCTGATGTCCCCATCTGTCCTCCTGAAGCGTGTGAATAATGGGGACGCAGTGTCTGGAGAGGAATGTTTGCGTCCTCCTGCTTTCCGGACCTTCTAGCTAACCTCAGGCAGGGGGTCTGCACATTTGGACGGTGGCACGGTGGGTATCTGGACATCCTCTTCCCATCCGTGCCTGGCTGCCCACGCAGTTCCCGTGCTCTCCCTCCCTCCGGCATGGATTGGACGAGCCCAGAGTGGCAGGAAGGGAGGTGCCCACCTGCCCCCAGGGGAGTGAATGCAGACCTTGGCAGGGCTTCCCAAATGGTGTGTCTTCTTGGAATGGCATTTTACTAAGACAGACTTGAGGAGAGAAAATTTTTTAATGTTAAAACAAAGATAGTGATAATATGATATCAAATGTAAAAACTGCCTGATCTTTAGAAATAAAATAAGAACTTAAAAGACGTTTGGACCTGGTTGGCCACCTCAGGGCCAAGCGCTCCCTATTCACTGGTCCCCTGGGGACAAGCGTGAGAAGCAGCGCTGGTGTGCACCCTTTCCTGCTGGCCGGGTGGGATGTGTCCAGCCGAGGCCAGGTGGAGAGCAGACTCGGGGTGTCCGCGGGCACATCTGCCCCCTCGCCATTTCCCTGGTGCTGCCCGGCTGTGGGCAGGCGGGCCCTAGTGAAGGGGCTCCTCTTGTCTAGGCTGAAGCTCTGATACACTCTGGCCCTACAGGTATTATCGGGGGACCCACGGGGTCATCGTGGTTTATGACGTCACTAGTGCCGAGTCCTTTGTCAACGTCAAGCGGTGGCTTCACGAAATCAACCAAAACTGTGATGATGTGTGTCGAATATTAGGTGAGGCTGGACCCAGTGGGGTGGGGACAGTGGGATGGAGGTGGTGGGGGGTGCTCCCGCAGGGCCGGGCTGACTTTGCTTTGCCTTGAAGTGGGGAATAAGAATGATGACCCTGAGCGGAAGGTGGTGGAGACAGAAGATGCCTACAAATTCGCCGGGCAGATGGGGATCCAGTTGTTTGAGACCAGCGCTAAGGAGAACGTCAACGTGGAAGAGGTGAGGCCGGGGCTGGAGCAGGGATGGGGGAGGAGTGCGGCTCTGTCCCCCACCATGGCCCTCCTCTCCCCACTCCTAGCCTGCCCAGGGCCTCCAGGTGGCTGACAGAAAATGTCACAGGAGCTGCATTTATTGAGTGCCCACTGAGTGTCAGGGATTGAGGTAGGCCCTTTAAAGGTGTCAGCTCATATCTCAGCAGTCCTCTGAGGTAAATTATTCCCACGTTTCAGATGGCAGACTGAGGTTCCAACTTAAGGAATCTCACTCAGCTCCTAAGAGGCTGAGTCAGACTTAGACCTGTCCCACACCACAGCCACGCACAGTTTCCGCTCAGTCCTCTGCCTCATTGTCCCTCCTCTGGGCCCACCGCAGTTACCTCTTCCAGGTCTCTGGCTATCCCTAGGGCCTTGGCCTCCCTGCAGAGACCAGGTTGCTTTCTTGTGGCCTCCAGAGCTCAGGTGGGCACCCGCTGTGTGCCCCTCAGAGGCTCCGGGGGCTGTGCATCCCCCGAAGACTAGCTGAGCCTCCGGCCTGGGGTGGCTTCCCTTCACTCTGCTGGGCCTGCTGGAAAGCAGTTGTGAATCTGTGGGAGAAAAGCTGGACCTTTTGCCAAGCCCAGGCTGGCCGTGCTCGCGGCTTTGGGAGAGTCCTGCCCCACAGTGTGTGGCGGCCAGAGGCCCAGGGAGGCTGAGATGTCCATTGCATGCTGGACCCCGACTGCACAGCAGTGGGGACCCCAGGTGCCTCAGTCAGGCTAGGATCACAATACGGGCCTTTCTGCTAGGGCGCCTGTGGCGGGCCCGTGTGCCCTTGGGCAGGGACTTAACCTCTCGAGGCTCCATCTGTTCCTTCTGTAGATTGGGGTCGGCTCGGAGTCCCTGCCTCCCAGGGTGGTGAGGAATAAGTGAAACGAATTATGTCAGCAGGTTATGTCCCTTTCCCAGCAGAGTGGAGGAGAGGACTGTGGGTTGGTGGGTTGAGTTCCACTGGGTCCTGCATTGCAAGGACGTCTTAGGGTGGTCCCAGGAAGGTTCTAGGATGTGTAGTAAGGTGCATTGGAGTAGGCAGGCTCCTACATGGGGTAGTGTCCCTCTAGCTTGTAACTAAAACAGAGGCACCTTTATCCATCTTGTCGGAAGATTCCAGCTGAAGGAAAGGGGTTCTTTCTCTCTTTAAAAGACAGACTAGAAAATCCCTGAGAGATTGCCTTCCCCAAGACATGGCTCAGGGGTCTTTGATTTTGTTTCTTTTTGACCTTTATAATTTACCGTGTCCTTCAAGAACGGGTTTGGGGGCATACATACAAAAAACTTCATGAGTAGAAATAGAAAGCTGGGCGTGGGGAGGTGGGGAGGCGGCCATGCTGGCCAGCAGAGGTAGCACAGCCGCCATGGCGCCTCCTCGCTGGGTCTGAGGCCCGCCCTGCCTCCTTCACCCTCACAGATGTTCAACTGCATCACAGAGCTGGTCCTCCGAGCAAAGAAAGACAACTTAGCGAAACAGCAGCAGCAGCAACAGAACGATGTGGTGAAGCTCACGAAGAACAGTAAACGAAAGAAACGCTGCTGCTAATGTCCCACCCACCCACTGCAGAGACTGCACTGCGGCCACTCCCCTGGCCTGAGGCCCGTGGGCTCCTCGGGGGACAGTCTCAGTTTCGTGCCGTTATTTAAAGAATTCTCTCCACGTTTTTGTATCGGGAGGCGCCACGGGCACTTCCTCCCCTCCCCCTCAAGTGCCAAGAAGGTGTTGGACAACCTGCCCTTCCCTTCTGGTGCCCCTGCCCCCTGGCCAAGGCGCCTGGGCCCGGCGAGGACGCTGCCAGCCGAGCGGACTGATTAACCAGAGTTTGTACATAATGTATATTGCTTTAACCACCGTGTCACCCACGTCCTGCTCTGGCTTTTGCCTCCTTAATGCCAGCCTGCTGCGACAGACCCTCCCTCCCCTCCCCATCCCATCTTACTGCCAGCAGCTTCCTGAGGAGACAGGATCGCGTTCTAGCCACGTCTTTTGCCAACCTGGGCTGGTGGAGCGGGCTCCATGTTACTCGTTCTACGGGCTGTCGGCCTCTGTCCGTGGCACGCAGGGCCTCCCCCGTCTCCAGGGCCTGTGCCGCCTCTGTTCCCAGCCCAGGTCCCTTCCTTCCCCATCCCCATCCTGGCAGCTGGGGAAACCTGGCCCTGGGGTAGGCCTGGAGGTTCCCTTAGACTAAGGCCCTGCCCCCCGGCTGGCCCAGTCCTTTGGTTCCACAGGAGTCATCCCTGCCCTTTGGCCAACAGGTTTCTTGTCCTGCCTTCTAGATGCCTCTGAGTGACACACCCAGGGGAGCCGTGGTTTCTAACCTATGCCAACTGTTTCAGTTCCACCACAAAGGTAGGGGTTGTTTGTGCAGCAATGGGGCTTGCAGGAGGGCTGAGGAGCATTATTTTAACAGATAAAGAAAATGAAGCCAAATCAAATGAATTAAGTTCCTCACACTTTTTTCTTCTCTTCCTGAGGTTTGGTTGGCACAGCAGCAAAAGTTGTGGCCACCTCACTTTGGGTCCGGTGTTTTTAGAAAAAGTGAATAGCTTCCTGTCATTGTGGTGCCGGGCTCTTGGCAGAGCAGCTCTGCCTGCCTGGCCAGTTCTTGGTGGGAAAGGACCCTTGTCTGTGTCGGCCCAGCGCCTCCCACTGAGTCCCTGGGTCTCTGATGCAGCACCAGGCACCTTGGAATGTGGGGAGCGGGTGCCCGGGGCTGCTGGACGGCAGGCAGCCTTGGACCACTGACAGAACTGTTTTAGCAGCATGAGGGTTTCTTCGCGGGTGGGAAGGAATGGCAACCGGGGCTGGGAGCCAGCCAGCTTTGACCCACCCCGGTCCCCTGGTGGAAAAACCAGGGTCATCTGCACTTGATTACTGTCCCCCGCCCACCCCGCCCGGGACACCTCATTCACCTTTCCCCTAAAAGGATCACATAACCTGGAAATAATTTATTTCAACACCATGATGTGTGTTATTAGATTTCCTTTCCTAGGCGATTTCCAGGCGAAGCCCTGATTGGACAATCACGTCACAGATCACACTGCAGATTTTCCATGTTAACACTTGATGGGTTTTTAATCAGTAAGAACTAGGGGTTTCTTCTGACCTGTCTCTTCACTTCCCCCAAACTGCCAAAGGCCCGTGGTTCCATGTGACAGGTGGTGGAGCTCTGAGGACTGGGAAGTCGGTGCTGTAGAGGGCAGCTGCGGGGCCAACCGGCAGGCGGCCCCCACTGGTTGGGGCACTGGGAGCAAAAACGTGGTCTCCGTCCTCAGGACTGTCGTGGCTGCCCAAGGTTCTATGGGGGATGTGCAGAGCTCGGGGCTCCTGAGGTGGGCGGCATACTCGACTCTGAGCATTCAGGTGACGCCACTGTGGCAGTGCTTGCAAATTCAAGCAATAAGAGGACGGGGTCCTGGAATTTTCCAGCCGAGGCTAGAAGCCACCATGGCTTCTGGCAACTGGACGGCCAGCCCGAGCTGGTGGGGTGATTTTGGTGACTGTGTGCCTGTCCCGAGTGTTACACGCATGAATGGGGGGTGGGGGGCTCACAGGGCTGGACCGATATCCTGGTGGACCTGATGTGAAATTCCTGTCGAACAACAAAACTTTTAAATGGTTTGCTAGGATTATTTCTGTATTGAAAGTTTCTAATTATGCTTTTTAAAAAAAATACTAAAAATAAAGGTTCAAGCTGTCCAACAGTCTTCCGGGGTCTGTTTCCTCTCCTCCAGCTGTGCTCTGGGTGGGCCTGGCTCCTTCCCGCCCATTGTGTCCAGGTCATTTGTTCTGGTCTGAGTCCTGCACAGGTGCCTGCTGGGGCCTAGGGACACTGTCAAAGCCAAGTTTGTTTCCTCCATGAAAGGCTGGTCTGGGCCAAGCTTCCCCTCTGGTTGGACGCGTTGGCGGGGAGCACAGTGGTATGGTGCCGGGGGAAGCTCCGTGTTTATCTCCGCATGCCCGGAAGGGCGCACTGGAAGCTCTGCCCTCAGCACTCTCTTGCTGGCTCCAGGTTTCTGCCAGGTTATAGAGCCCGCTCGTGGCTGGGGGAGCAGTGCCGGCCGGCTCTGCCTGCAGCCGGGCAACCGCAGCACTGGCAGGGAGCCCAGGGCCAGGCTGGGCGTGGCGGCAGTACCCTCTGCCCCTGCTCCCAAACGGCTGTCACAGACAGGATGCCTCCACCCTCTGAGGGAGGTGCCCCTGGAGGGCTGAATCCATTGATTGGGCACCAGCGTCTGAGGTGACCTCCCAGCTCGTGGGGACTCCCCACTGCTGCCTTCTCCTGGCCAGCCAGAGGCCACCCTGAAACGGAAGCCGTATTCTGACCAAACCAACCCTCCAGGTACCCAATGACTGAGGCAGGAAGCTCTGTAGAAATTCATTTTATTCTTAGACTATTTTCAAAAGAAGCAGTGGTGTGCTGTTTTTCTAAAAATATGCCTTTATAGATTTATATATAATATGTATATTATAAAATCCATACACATATTTACATGATTGCTACATACAAAATTACAGCACTGTGGTATGTACATATCTATAGGTACATTCTTTCCACTCATCCCTGCTGTGCTTTTCCCAGTGAGGGAGGGAGACGATCCTTTGTAAAGCGGCTTGTGGGCTGGCTCAGCCCAGGGCCCTCTGAGTTAGGCCTCAGCAGAGAAGGTGGAGTGGCTGCTGAGGAAGGAGCAGAAGCAGCAGGTTGCAGGATTCATCCTTCTGCAGGCCTGGTGGGCAGTATCTGGAGACATCCACCCCGTGTGCCAGTGCTGCCCTTGAGGTGGAGGGGGCTGACCGCAGACCCCTCCGGGGCCACTCTGTGGCCTGGACTTGCTTGGCTGAGCCAAGAACTTGTATCTATGAGGGGAGCAAGGGGGCTGTGGGAGGAGGGTGAGACCCTTCCTGGCCCTGGCCCCATGAAGGGGAAAGGGCTGGGTGGCTGAAGCCTGCAGAGGGCCTGTGAGGAGGCCTGCCCCTCAGGGGAGGCCTGCACTGGAGGGAGAGCCATGGCAGCCGGAGGGCAGGGCCCTTCGTCCTCCTGGGCTCGGGATGGCCTCAGCCAAACTCTGGGAGAGCCCACTGTGGCTGAGCGTGAGTGAACAAGCCCAGCCGTCACGCCCTGCAGGCTGGGTCTCCTGCCCGAAGAGGTGCTCCCGGCAGAGGTGCATGCACGTGGGTGAGGGGCCGCCTCCTCCCTATACTCCCTGGGCCAGCGACTGGGGGAGGGATGGAGGCTCAGGCCTGGTGGCCTGCAGGACTAGGCCCCCAAGGCTCAGGCCAGCTGGGGGCAGTGATGACCTCTTGAGGCATGCAGAGAGGGGCCTCCATTTCTTCTGTTCCCCATATTCCAAAACAGGAGGGCAGTGGTGCCTGGGGTTGGGCATGGGAGCCACTGAGGGGGGGTGGGGTGGGCTGTGATCCATTGGGTCTGAGCTGCGGACCCCAACCAAGGGGCTGCTCGCAGCCTGAGCCCTGCTCAACAGTGGATCCTGGGGATGCCCAGGCTGGGCTTGGCCGGGCGGTGGGGACAGGGCTCCTGCGTGTCCCTGTGTTGAGGGCAGCCTTCAGAGGCCAAGTGGGCCCTCCTAGACCACTTGGCCCCAGTGTGGGTGGGCAGTGCAGCCGCTGAGCCCAGCCCGGGGGGGCCCTCGCGTGCAAACATGGTGCACGGGGCCCTCGCCCACACGCCCTTTTCAGTCACCTCCAGTCCACCCATCCTCACTGGCCTGACTCTTCCCAACTTAAATTTTCCTGAAGAATGAGAAGAGCCGTTTGCCTTCAGTGGTGCTGGGCTCGTCTCCGCGCCCCGCGCCGTGGGCCCTGGCGAGGGCAGCAGCAGGCCGGCTCCGTTCCTTCAGGTGCGTGTCCATCAGCTGCCGGTCAATGACCCTGTGCATGTCATCCTGCAGAGGGCAGAGCGGATGGGGCTGAGCAGGGCTCTGACCCGGCGCTGGCGGTGGCGGGGAGGTGGCACGTGTGGGAAGGACGTGAGATGAGGATGAGGGATGAGATGAGTGAGCGGCTGCAGCCAGGGCTGCCCTGGTCAAGAAAGCAGCAAGTGTAGACGCGATGCCAGGACACTCAGAAGCCACGTGACACCTCCATTCTCCTCAGGGCTTGAGCTGGCTTCTCCTTGCTAGTGTTATCCCCTCAGCTGACCCCACAGATGGCCTGTCCTTAGAGGCCCAGGGAACGGCTGCAACCGATACTTCCCTGTCTCTCCACCCGGGCCGCTGGCCCTACACCAGTGCTCAGCCTCCCTGCCTCTGGCCCTCTCTGCCCCACCTCCTGTGTCCCTTGGGGCTGGGTGGGTGCCTCTCACTTGGTACCCACCCTCCCAGGCCCTAGGGCCACCTCAGCTTGCAAGCTCTCCAGCCCAATGGCCTGCCCGCAGAGGGATTCTCCTGACCCTTTTTCCCTTCAAATTATTACCAGCCTAGCTGCTGATGCACACGCGTCACGGGCAGCCCCACATGGCAAGGACGCAGGCTCCCTGGGTGCTGCCCCTGCCCACCACCGACCATGCACTCCAGTGCCCCCTGGCGAGGCTCCATCTGTGGCGGAGGCCACGGCATGAGCATCGTCAGGGCTTGTCTTGCTCCAGCTTAGGCCGATCTCCTTGACTTCCTCACTGGGATAGCACCTTTCTCCCTCCAATCTGTCGAAGTTGCCTAGAAAGTGGACCCCTCACCGTGACTCCACCTTACAGAACAGCAGCTTTTACTCCACAGAGGGGCTTCTGGACAGAGCAGCTCCACTCTCTCTCCATTCTAGTCACTAGATTCTGATGTTGTGGAAGATTCCGTCTGACACATTCTGCCACTTACACAGTACGGAGCCATTGGTTTAGAAATATAAGCAGCCCTGTCTAGTTCCCAGCAGGAAGCATAAGAGGAATCTGCCTGATTCCTTCACCCTTCAACCTGGTGGGCTCTGGGCCGTCCTGGAGAAAAGACACTGAGCCTTGAGCCAAACCCTGGAGTGAGCGTGTCAACTGCTCCCATCTGAGCACAGGATGGCGGAGAGAAGACCTCTAGCCACTCACCTGATGAGGGCAGGAAGTGGGGCTGGCCAGGCCCCTCTCTCTGACTGTCTTGTCCAACACCTCCTACACTCTCACCCAAGCTCCCACTAGTGGGGTGTCACTCGAATGTCTCTGCAGGTTTCAGTGTGAAACAAAGGGACATTCCTGACCACATACCCAGTGATGGCGGGTGTGGACCTCTTGCTCCTTCCCCTGCTACGTCCTGCTCTCCTGCATTCTTCTCTTCCCATCCCCCCCCCCCCCCTTTTTAAGGAAGATTAGCCCTGAGCTAACATCTGCTGCCAATCCTCCCCTTTTTGCTGAGGAAGACTCGCCCTGAGCTAACATCCATGCCCATCTTCCTCTACTTTATATGTGGGACACCCGCCACAGCATGGCATGCCAAGCGGTGCCATGTCCGCACCTGGCATCTAAACCAGCGAACCCCGGGCTGCCGAGAAGTGGAACGTGCGCACTTAAGGGCTGTGCCACCGGGCCGGCCCCCATCCCTGTCTTTCTTCATACTTGACTTCCTCCTGCACCTCTCCTCCTCCTCCTCACAGAAATAGGAGACATGGTCCCTACTTCCACGGTCCCAGTGTTGAACCCTCAGCACACTGTCTTGCACTTAGGACGTGCTCAATAAAACCTATGTTGTTAAATGCAACATTAGGAATGTTAAAGGGTCCTTCAGAAAGAAACCATTCAAAGCTGCCATTGTTTTTTCTGGTACATTGCAAACTGCATTTTTCATACTTTAAAATTTGTCAAGGTAATCCCAATAAAATAAATCACTTTAGAACTTCATACACACACATGCATGAGCTGCTCATAATTCCATGTCTGCTATTACTTCTATGGGCAAAACAACCCATTCATGAGGAGATGGAACCAAGAAACCAGGCAGGGGTCAGCCTGTCAGTACTGGGCCACGTGCTGCCACGCTCACTGGACATGATGGCGATGGGAGGGGGAGGCCAGGGCTCGACGGCACGGCACACTGCACAGAGATGATGCTGGGGTCCAGCACACAGAACACGGTGGGCCACGAGGGAGGTGGCAGGGGCAGGACTGCGATGGCAGCAGGGGAGAGGGTGGGCAGGATGAGTGCTCGGTCTCACCTCAAAGGCAGGAGGGGTGTACAACTAAAGCTGTTGATACGGGAACTGAGAAAGGCCACTAGATCAGAAACCAAAGGAGCCAGATAGTAAAAAGCCCTGAGGAAGCAAACTGCAGCCGGGAGAGAAGAGAGAAGAACAGGGGCGGTGAGCCAGGGAATGGCCAGCTGGCCAAGGGCAGGAGGCCGAGGAGCCAGGGACCCGCTCTCTGGGGAGGGTTCCAGTGCTCCTGCGGCCAGCCCAGCAGGGCCCTTGGAGGAGCGGTCCCTGCCGACCTGCTCGCCATGGCGGGGCTCGCCTGAGAGAGCTGCAGGAGGCTTTTCATCTGTCTGGTTGGGATTTCTTGGGGAGAAACGTGAATGGTTACACTCATATCCTGAAACTGTACTACCCTAACCTCATTCACAAAAAGCAAGGACAGCCCTGGCCCAGCGGGAAGCCATCTGGGGCCTGGGATGGGGCAGGCTGACCGGGCTCAGCAAACAGCGGTCCCAGAGATGGCCGCCCTGACTCATTTTCCCCAGGCCTGCGCCAGGACAGTGCTCTTTGGAAAAAGCAAGCTGGCCTTTGAGAAGGGGAAGGGCAGCAGCTGCCAGCAACGCAAGGGTTGCCCTACTCCATCCAGCCGTGGATTTTCATTCAGTCATACAGGGGTTCCGGGGCCCTCCTTGTTAACAGCTGTTTCTTTCCAGCTAATTTAAACAGAGCCGAGACAACTAGCAGGTGGCCTCTGTTCCAAGCCTGGAGGTCACCAGAGCCCCAGATGGCATAGCCTGGGGTTCAACGCTCTCGAGAGCATCCTCAGGCATTTCCCCCAGGGACTCAGGGAACACAAGCTCAGAATTTCACCGGTGAAGACTGGGGTTACTGCTCACCCATGTGCATGGGACCCTCCAGTAGCAAACTCTCCTTACATTCTGCCTGGGTTCAGAGGCCCCTCCTGGAGCCTAGTCTTCTCTCATCCTCTGTCTCCAGGTTCCCGTTTACCTGCCAAGCCTCAAGCTGCTGCGAGAGGTTCAGTTTCTGCTGAATGGCATCCAGCAGCTGGCTGTTCAGAGACATCATGTCCATCTTGCACTTGGCGAGTTCCAGTTCCACAGCGTTCTTCCTGAAAACACACAAGCCAGAGTGAGCATGGGCACCTTGCGCTGGAGGCATCTTGCTTTTTCACCTGGGGCACCTGGAATCCACAGGATGAGGAAACAGGCCCTGACCCCAAACTCACAACAAACTAACTGTAAAAGCAACTGTGATGTTCCTTGTAGAGGGCTGGGAAGTTTGCAGCATGCTCTCACATACATTTTCTCAATTTGTACAACCAATCTGTAGGGGAAGGGATTATGTGTCATCCTCATCTCACAGATGAAGAAGTGGTTAAAAGAGGATGATACTTAAGTCAGGACTGGAACCCAGAGAAGATGAAGGCCTCAAACAACACTAAGGAGCTGCTAACCCTTCCCCCAAAGGCCAGCCCCAAAGACGGCGGGGGCCTTGTCCTTCTGCTTCCCTCCTTTTCACTAGCAACCCCCCTTAAGGGATCTGCCCTAAAGATACACACATGTGCAAAAGTAGCCACACACTGACCATCACAGCTTAGCTAGTCACAGCAGCCAACAAGTAGCGGACTGGTGGTAAATTATAGGACGGAATACAGTCACAGCAACGATGCTGAATATTTACAGACAGTGGGGACACACGATGTATTGCTGAGCGGAGAAAAGCATCAAACCTTAGCAGGAGACCTGATAGGCTCGACTCCAAACTCACAGCAAATAGGAACTGTAACGTTACTATTACAAACAGAAACTATAATGTTACTTGTAGAGGGCTGGAAAGTTTGCAGCTTTGCAAAAGCTAGTCCGATGCAAAAAGCATCAGCCCTTGTCTTAGGTCTGTTATAATACTAGCTTTGCAGAAAAACTGCCTGTATTTGCTAGTCCTACTCAAAAACGTCTACTTGGTTATCTCTGGATGGTGGTCATTGATGGGTAACTGCTCCCACAACTTTTGCATTTTGTATTTTTCACATTTTGATATGTTTCACATATTACTTTGTTTGCCCTTCCCCCAAATTCCTAAATCATAGTTGTTCAATGCAAAAGAAAATTAATTTGGGGGTGGGCGGGGGAATGGGAATAAAAAGTGCGAGGGACTAACCGGGCAGCCTCTGCGAGGAAGCACTGGTTGCCCAGCGGCCACAATGAACATTATTTAGCCCTCGTCTTCATCAACTGCTCTCTTTAGCATTCAACACGGCAAAACTAACAAGTGTCCTCGTTGCACAGGGCCAGTGACTAATGTGCACGGCCCAAGGACAGCTGGAGGACCCACAGACCCGCAGAGGCTGCCCAGCTCGGGACTCAGGAACGCCGACTGCACAAAGGTGGGGCAGTCGGGGGTAAAGCGCTCAGGCCACCGACTGGCACTTCCTCTCCAGCCTCAAGTCCACAATCGCGCCCCGCCCTCCACTCCTAGAAGAGCCGCCGAGACAGCCCCAGCGCCGGCCGCCCGCCAGCACTGCGGCTGCGGGGCGGAGCCAAGCCCGTGCAATGAGCGCCAGTGTCTCGGACGCCGCAAGGCCGCCCCCGCCACGCCCCTTGCCATTGGCTGGCGCGAACAGCGGAAATCCTCGCCCGAAGCCAGTTGCCACGGACGCCGGGCCAGCCAAGTCCGCCCCCTTGGCGCTTCGGGGCGCTGCAGCATCGCAAGCTTCCGGGCATCTCCCGGCAGGTGGCGCCACGAGCAGTCTGCAGACCCTGGGATGTGCTGACTAACGCCACCCGGCCGAGGGGCGGAGGGGCGGAGGGGCGGAGGGGCGGAGGGGCGGAGGGGCGGAGGGCTGCAGCAGCGGCAGCCGCTGGGCTTGGAGGCGGTCCCCTTCCTTCCGGGAGACCCCGAAGCAGGGGCCACTTGCCAACCTTCTATGCCGGCCTCGGACTGCACCCTCGGAACGTCTGCTCACCAGGGAAGCTTGGTGCCTGTCATTCATGAGAAACCCCCGCCCAGGAAAGCCAAGCTGCACAAGCCGCTGATCAATATGTCAATCACAGCGTCAAAAAGGAGCATTTTAAAGGGCTAGAATTTTAAATGAAACCACTAGTGGCTGATTGCTTTTTGTTTTTGTAAGGCAGACTGCTAGCCCAGACTTTGGTTTTTAGTGAGGGCCTTTCACTTGCAAGGAGATAAAATTGTTACTTAACTTCTCTGAAACGCATCTATTCTAGAGGATAAGGAATACTTTATGGTTCTGGCAGCCCAGGGAGGAGAGGGAAGTTATCTTTCTTAGGGGTTCCCACCCCTGACTACACACGAGTATCACGGGGTGGGGGCAGCGTGACGTTTTTAAGTAGCAGCGCCAAACCCTGAGATTCAGACAGAATTGTTCTGGAGAAGGCCCTGGCATGGGGGAGTACCCCAGATGATTCTAAAGTCTAGTCAGGATGGAGAATCAGAGATGATGTATATGAAAACATCTTGTAAAACTCTTAAGGTCCTATTCAATATGGTGAGGTTCCCTCACGTGTAAATGATTCCTTAAGTCTGTTGTCTCAATTCTTGTACACCAAGAATTTCATTTCTAAGGGACAGAAAAATAACTGTCCTCCTGGAGTGATCTAATACCCTCTCTAAGGCCAGCCCTGTTCTCTAGGGTCCAGGAAGGACAGGGGCCTCACTGCAGCATTCTCCCCATTCAGGGAGGAGAATGTGCAAATCTGCTTGGTCAGACTCCAGGAGCTTAACTGGTCCTCTTGAGCCCAGGTAAGGGCATGCATTTCCAAGTTTCATGGAGATTGGGTGGCCTCCTGTCACCCAGGTGTCAGAGCTAGGTTCCACTTATTTTAAGGGAGGAGGACTGGACAACTTGTTTCTTCTCTCCTGCACACTAACACTTTCTCTGGTCGTATCTCCCAGCTCCCATGCTGATGACAGAACATGGTCAGAGAGACATTCAACTCTCTTCCAGTTGTGTAGCCGAGAGATGGTGACCAACCAGTGTCTACTTCTAACTTCATTCTGCTTTTTATTCCCAATGGGCTTTCAAAATTAGCACCTTAACTCTACTCCCTAATTGTACGACACAATTTCACCCTTTGTTCTTCATAAAAATATGCTCCCACTCCAAAACATCATACTGCTATTCAAGTATTCACTAATTAAATCCACGAGGAATCCAGTGGCAAAGATAGATACGCGTGTGAGCCTCACTGAGTGCCATTCCCAAATGAACTGGAAATTGACAGACAATCTGATATGAGGTTCTGATCAGACAGAAAAAGGGACCCAAAGGTAAAACTAAGAAATGGCAATGATGAAAATGATTAAAGAGAACAGAAGGGAGGGGACAAATGTGTGTGGAAGTGAGAAGGCGGGTGTGGGGAATTTTAAAGTCAGAAATTAAAATGTCATATTTAAAAAGGCATATAGTATCTATTTACAAATTGTTTCAAATGAGCTCCTTTTAGCTTCTGGACAAGCAGCCACATGGTAAGGGGAAAGGTTGTGGGGACAGGAGTCAGAGACCTGAGGTGGAGGCCAGTGATCACCACTGGCTGTGATCCTGGGGAAAGTATTTCAGCTTCCTCATCTGTAAAACTGGCATTAAAATTTTTACGTCTCGCTGTGGCGAGGAGGTTAGAGGATGCCAGTATTTTGTGAACAGTAAAGAGATACACAAGTCTCGTTATTAATGTGTTGTAAAGCGCCACCAAAGCAGACACATCTTTAGTACCTTTTATCTCCTCACACCCAGTGAATAGGGTAGATTGAGTGCATGATAAATAATTTTCAGGGGGGTGGGGAATATATAAACGTTTCTTGCCTATGTACTTCTGAAGTTTTTTGAATGTAAGAGAATGCATTTATGCATTTCTTCTCTGCCAAAGAAAATCCAAAACATTATTTAAAAATGACCCAGTTTAGGGGCTGGCCCTGTGGCCGAGTGGCTAAGTTTGCGCGCTCCGCTGCAGGTGGCCCAGTGTTTCGTTGGTTCAAATCCTGGGCGCAGACATGGCACTGCTCATCAAACCATGCTGAGGCCGCGTCCCACATGCCACAACTAGAAGGACCCACAACCAAAAATATACAACTATGTACCGGGGGGCTTTGGGGAGAAAAAGGAAAAAAATAAAATCCTTAAAAAAAAAAAAACGACCCAGTTTACTGGAAATATAGGGGACAGAGACAAAAATGTTAAATGACACTCTGGGGAAGCAATCAAACTCAGAATGGAGAAAAACTAGGAGACAAATGATCCAGTTTTGTCCATAAATAAATGCAATATGACACAAAAAGATGGAGGGGGAAGTGTTACAGACTTTTGGGGTATGTCAACTAAAGGGATTATGCAGACTCTGGAATTTGATTCTAATCACTTATAAAAAGACATTTATGGGACAACTGGGGAAATGTGAACACTGGATACGAGATGACATTAAGAAATTATTTTAAGTTTTTTCAAGTGTGATGACTGCACTGTGGGTGTGTTTTACAGGAGTTTTTCAGGTAGAGATCTATATTGAAGTGTTTATGAACGAGATGATATGACGTCTTGTGATTTGCTGCACACAGTCCAGTGAGGACATGGAGGAAGTGGGTGGGGATACAGATGAAATCAGACTGGCCATCTGTTGAAGCTGGGAGACAAGTAGGTAGGGATTCATTCTATGTTTTCTACTTTTGTGTATGCTTGAAAATGTCCATAATAAAAAGTAACAAAATAAAACAACCTAAAAAAGAAAAAAGTTCAGATAGATATATATAATGAAATTGAAAAGCTCTCTAAGATATAAGTGGGATAAAAACCAAGACATGTAGAGTGTAATCTCATTGATGTTTAAAAAAACCACACAATTATATTGCATTTTCATCTGCACCGGAAAAAGATTTGCAAAAAATGCACCCCAACTTTCAACAATAGCATCTGTCTGGGGAGAAGAATGGAAGTGGGGTGACGGGGGGAAGCAGGGAAACTCACTTTCACTTCTGAGTCCTTCTGTATGATTTACCTAAACTCGAGCATATACTCAGGTTACTTGTAATGAAAGTAAAATCAAACAGGCATGCCCACTCACTTTGCAATGGCCTCATCCCGGTCCCTGATGGCCTTCTGAAGCTGCTCCTTTGGTTCCTTGTCCTCAGATGTCACTCTGAGTTGATCTCTCTCCTCCTTCAGTGCAGTCATCTCCACACTCAGCAGTGTCACCTATCGGGAGACCAAAGGGATGACTGTGATGATAGACCACTGCTGCTGGCCTAGGGTGTTTCCCCCGTCGAGGGAGAAAGGAATAAGAAGACCCAGGCAGGTGCAGGGCCTGTGTGCGGCGCAGGCTGGTAGCCTCCCGCTGCCCCGTGCTCTGAGGGAGGCCCATCCCTCCTGGAGAAAGGATGCCACATGCTGGGCTGGAGCTCAGTGGCCAGGGAGCTGGGGAGGAATTCAGCCCTGGACTGCAGCCATGGGGCCAGATCCCCTTTGGAAGGAGCACACCACACCACCTCCATTTCCAAGGCACTCCCAGGGAAATAATGAATGAACACCACCATTAATCAGAGCTCTGAAACACTTTTTTTGGAGTAGGGACTCAAGTTTGTTTCCAGCCATCTCCCACCCAACATGGAACACTGCTAACCTGGCCCTGCCTGGTCCCAAAGCCTGGGACCTGGCTCCCATTTCTATGACAGCACTTGATGCAGCCTGGCTCCTTCATCTTCTTCATCCAGCTCCCCAGGTCAAAGCCACATGGAAATTAGACACCTAAATGATGTTATCACCTTTCACTGCAAACTTGTTAGCTTTTCTGCGGTCTGTGCCTCAGTGAATGGCGCCACAGCCCATCTTCACTGGGAGGCATCCTTTGGTGGTGACGTGCCCCGCCTAGTGGTTCCTTTGGTGACCACGGCTCACCCTACCCACTGTATAGTAGCCCGTGTACACCTTGAGCCCTGCGATGGCAGGCAGCATGTCCTATCCATCTGTGTATCTCAGAGCCCGACTGCAGAAGACGCTTCATCCCAAAATGTTAGTGCAGTGGACAGTTACCATCTTTTGGCTAGTCATCATTCAAGTCCTTTCCTATTTTAGGGGGCATTTCTGGTGGCTTGAGTCTTGGTGGGAGATGGGGCATGCCCTCCTACTAAGGAAGCCAAAAGGGGAGAGACATATCCTTTCCTAGGCACCTGGGCATGGGCATGTGACTTCAACTGGCCAGTCACACTCCCCTACCTGGGACCGCAGCTCTTGAGGGTACAGCAAAGCCATAGGCCAGTGGGAAATTATGACATGGACAGCAGATTGTTTCTGCTGTCTCACTTTCCATGGCTCCCCCGTTTTGAAGCTCAGCTCTCCAGCCTTCCTGTTGATTCTGTAAGCTCTCAGATTCAATGTCAACACATTCTCCTTCCGCTTAAGTTAAGCAGAGCGTTTCTGTTGTTTGCAACCAGAAACTCTGCCTGGTAGAGCTTTCAATAAATATTTGTTGAATGAATGGAAGGGTGGGAGCCCCTGCTTCTCAGAGAGAGAGAGGATCAGACTGGAGTCAGGATACCTGACCCTGCCCTCTTGTTAAATATTACATACTTTGACATTTTTCCAAGGGAGGACCCATCCGTACAGGTCTGTCCCTCCCATAAGGAGACAGATGTCACCTTTCAGGACACTCCTCTGCTCTTCAGGTTCTAAGTCTAATCATCTTCAGACAGAATGGAACTGAGCAAAGGCCCCAGGACTAAGGCTGAAGATCAAGCTTGCCAAGAGACACTCTGGACTGCCCAGACTGAGACAGCAGAGTTGCCAGGCCCTGGAGTAGCAGCCACTTGGGAGGAAATCAGAGGACATTCAACACTGAAGAGAGATACAGGAGAACTTGTGGTCCCTAGGGGCAATGGATTTTGTGCTCTTAAGTGCTTGGTAGGGAACGTCAGGACCCGGTGCTCCGTGCTTTTGTGGCAGGGACAGCTCTGGTGAGCAGGATGAAAAGCCTTAGGTAAGACCAGGCCAGGGGCGGGGGGGGGGGGGGGGGGGGGGGGCGTGCTGCAGAGGCCACAGCACGCAGACGCAGCTAGCCCAGAGGCAGACAAGGCAGCGGGGGAGACGCCCGGCCTCGCCCTACTTCTCAGCAGGTCCTGCAGCCTGGGAGGCCCGAACTCACGACCCAGAAAGCACCTAGCAGAGACAGCCAGACCTCCTCAGACCAAATGAGCCCTGACATGGCCTCAGGCCAGCCAGGTGTTCTGCCAGCTGAGTCAGCGACAGATAAAACTACATGCTAGGCTGGAAATGCCAACATTTAATATGCTCCACCAGAACTCCATTAATATACTCCACCAGAACTTTTTGCTTTGGCCTGGAAAACCTGGTTAACATAGAAACCACCAACTATCTGCCTTAGAAGTGACAAGAGACTTACCCTCTCTGAGCTGCACAAACTTTTCATAAAAAGCAGGAATAATGGGGCTGGCCCCGTGGCCGAGTGGTTAAGTTCGCGCGCTCCGCTGCAGGCGGCCCAGTGTTTCGTTAGTTCGAATCCTGGGCGCGGACATGGCACTGCTCATCAAACCACACTGAGGCAGCGTCCCACATGCCACAACTAGAAGGACCCACAACGAAGAATACACAACTATGTACCGGGGGGCTTTGGGGAGAAAAAGGAAAAAATAAAATCTTTAAAAAAAAAATTTAAAAAAAAAAAAAAAAAGCAGGAATAAAAATAACTATTCCCCGCCATTGAGTTGTTGTGAGGATCAAAGGGGATAAATCACATCAAGGGCCAGCTCAGTGCCTGGCACAGGGTTGGAAGCTCCACGCCCTCTCCTCCCTCCAGCCGTGTGGGACCTACGTGCTGATGGCTGTCACGAGGGTCCATCTAGCTTGTTTATACACCGACTTAGGTTACAGCCACCCCTAAATCCACTTTTCCCAAATAAGGTGGGTGCCCTCGCAATTGAATAGCATCAAAGAAAATATCCTGAAGCCACAGGGCAATTTTATTTGCCATTTTGCTTGACAATTATTTGGGTGCCTACTCTAGGCAAGGCACAGTGCCAGATGCTCTAGGAGAGGACAAAGGCATGTCAGACCTCGCGCTTGTCCCTGTGGAGATCCAAGGCTTGACTGGGAAGATGAGATGTGAACAAGGGTAGCCATGACAAAGCAGGGCTGGGGGGCTCCATGAGGAAGGGAATCAAGAGAGTTTCGAGGAGGAAGTGAAACCTGACCAGGAACTTGAAGGATGAGTAGGGCTGAGATATGTGCAGGTGGCAGAGGAGAGTCTCCTGGGCAGAGAGAGCGAGTCAGAGAAAAGCCTTGGATGTGGGACAGCATGGGCAGTGGGTGCCACGCCCTTTCACAGCCTGTGTTCAATTCTGCTACAGCAAAGGAGGTGAGACAGAAACAGCAGGGAAGAAGGCTGGATGGCTGGAATGTCGCCAGACCGTGGCGTCCGTGAGGTCCAGAGGCTTCCCATCACTCGGTGATGGGGAATCAATCCAGACTGACTGGGCATAACGGGTGTCCCTTTTCAGGTCGTGCTTCAGGAAGATCAGTTCAAACCATGGAGAGGGTGAGTGGGCTGGAGGAAGGCAGATAAACTGGGAAGTGATGACCAAAGCCAAGGTGCGAAAGGCTAAAGGTCTTCAAATAGGGCAGTTGCTAGAAGGATGGAGAACAGAGAACATACTGAGATTTCCTAAAGGGGGGTCACCACGATTTCATTAGTGAAGGCCTTCACTGCTCCCAGTACATGTTCTCCTGTGTTTTCATGCCCCTTCTGGAGTAACTGGTTTGCGTTCCAGGAGGAGTCAAGCATAAAGGAGCCAAACGACTGTGCCTCCCACAACCTGGTTTGCCGGCCTGGGCAATGGCCAAGGGGTCCCACGGATAAGCAGTCTTCATATTGCTCTGAAGGTCCTCCCTGCCTCCCAGCAGCTCTCCAGACCCCACAGCCAGCCCTCACCAGGCATGAGCAGGAGCCTGGAGAACAGAGGAGCCGGCAGAGGGAGCGGGGAGGGAGCCCTCCACAGCGCGCATGAGGGTGCGGGGCAAGTCTTTAGATCTGGAAACAATCTGGCTATGGATTTTTGCCTCAAACAGACAATTATTAATTAAATGAAACCTGGGCTCTCTTTTATTTAAAATTTGGGTAGGCTGCTGCTGGTCACTTCACCTTTCAGGCCCCACATCTTTGACCTGTGGCCTAGTTTCCAGGAGAGAAAAGAGCACTCTGAGGTGCTCGGACAGCAGTGGGCTGGGAGGCCGGGTCATCCATGGGATGAGGTGTGGCCCTGGTCTAGGAGCTGTTTGCTGGAACCTCGGTTCCAAGGGTACAAAGCTGGTCTGACTCCCCTCAGGATACCGTGAGGGGTTCTGGGTGCAGGGGTGCTGTCATCGTCATCCTGTGCCTCTCAGCGTCTAGCAGCGCAGGCACGTGCTGGGCGCTCAGGAGGTGCTGATCTAATCGCACGAGGAAGGCCGTGCCCATGCAATGGCTGCCATTTCCAGTGTCATTCTGGAACTCAGTTTGCACCCCACCCACTGCCTTGGGAGGTCAGTGTTACTCCCAAGGGATGGTTTGGGTGGATGTAGTTTAGCTGAGAAGTTCCCTGCTTTGACTGAGCTTTAGGGAAGAGATGATCCACGGGAGAGACCCAGTTCTATACTCCATGTGGGACTGAGCAGAACCATCTGCTTGATGAGCTATCTGAAAGGGAATCCCCGGAAACTGACCTAAACGAGTTATCAGCTGAACTTTTAAGGAAAATTCCCTGGTGGAGATGGTTTCCTAAATAGTTCCACACCAGACTCTCAGTAACCTATACCTTGCTCATGGGTCTGAATGAAATAATGCCCTCTGGTGTTTCTAGTTATATAATTCTGAGAAGCAACAAAACAAAAAAACAGCCAATATCAAAGAGCTGATAAGCAGAATTACCCCACAGAAATTTAAATAGGCTTTAAAATAAATAAAATTTTTATTAATCCAAAGAGCTTTTAGATCCGCTTTCTCTTGCATTTTATTCTTCCGGTTTGGAAGACGTGTCCCTAAGTCTGAACCACTCCCTGGCCAAAGGACCGTCTGAGGATCTGAAGTTTTAGGCGTGAGAGTGTCTTTGGTTGCCCGACCCCACTCCCCAGGGCTTAGGCCAGGAACAAGCTACAGTTTTCAATAGCATCTTCCTGTCCTCGCTATCTGGTCACCCACAGAAAGAAGAGTGCAAGAGTAGCTGCAGGTGGGTCTCCCAATACCTTCCAAGAGAATAATACAGGAAGTCTCATGGATACGACCCCAAAAAGACAGCAGTTTATTTCCATAAGGTCGTTTAAAACCAAGAAACACTGCCTATAGCAAAAGGCAGGCTTCAATTCCATCTCTCAGCAATCTCGTGTAGCAGGAAGGGACAACTAGCTTTGGACAAAGAAAGAAGGGGGTAAGCTGGGTGGGGGCAGGGTTTAAAATGCTACCTGCTTGGTGTCCCCTACAAGTGGGACAGAGCCTCTACATGTGACCTCAGTCAAAAGGAAGAGCCTTTATTTATCTCCTAGGATAAATTTTAGGAGCTCCTCTCTGGGTGGGGCTGCTCCTAAGCCTTTTAAAACTTTTCAGATCAGAATATAGATGTCCTTCTCCAGTGTTCTCAAGCGAGATGAAATCATGATCAAACAGGAAAGGAACAGTGAGAGCAGCAGTAAGTCCGTCTAAAGCTGAAAAACAGGCTGGCAGAGGCGATGGCACTTACAAAGAGAGAACAGGCCTGCAAAGATCAATCGTTCCCTGGTTTGCAAAGTTCCCTGCTCAGAAGCTGCTAGAAAAGCATCCATAAGTGTCCTGGGAGCTGTGACACTTGAAACTGTCAGAATCCACCAGATTATTATGCTGGAGGAAACGGAGGGTCAGCCATTCTTATCCCTGACAATCTACTTTGGGCTAAACCAGAGGATTGGCTCCTTCTCTTGAAGACACTCAGCTCACTTCAACTTCAGGTCACTGTCCCCTCGGGATCTGCCAGAGGAGAGCCGCTTCCCAAAGAGATGCAGGAGAGAGAAACTCACAAAGGTCCCAAGAGAGCCCGGGGACCGTGCACATTCCCTTCACTGGACTGAGGATGCTCACCTGACTGTGGAGTCGCTGCAGCTCTTCTAGGCTTTGCCTCAGTTTACCCCTCTCTCCCTCCATGAGTTCCCTTAGTGCTCTTGAATCCTCACTGGTCTGCCTTATCTGTTCTTCTAAGGAGTCATCGTCAATTCTCCGGGAGCTCTGACAGCAAAAGAGAGAGAGCCGGTCAGCCAGAGAGATGGTGCCAATGGAAGGGAGTGGAGAGATGGTTAGTGGGGGAGATGGAGAGGAGAGAGGGGGGAGTTGGTGTGGGGAGAGGGGAGCAAGGGGGAGGGGAAGCAGAGAGATGGTTCAACTCAAGGGAGAGCAAAATAGTAGAGGAGATGGGGCGGAGAGGGAGAGAAAGAGGAGAGGCAAGGGAGGGAAGAAAGAAAAGGTTAGAGGAGAGAGATTCTCTTGCTCAGTTGCAATCTGCAAACAATAGCTAGACATTTATTTTTGTTTCAGGCTTCAGGGAAGGGAAATTGTGTGGCATGAACAGCACACCTCACTCAGACAGCTCCCGCTCCCCACCGTGACCTGGCCTCCATGCTACAGTACATTCCACACATCAACGTGGCATGTGGAGGTGAGGCCAACCACCCCTTCACCTTACTTCATCTAACATGGGCGGAAAGACCCAACGAGTCTGCAGGGGGATGAAACCTGAAGAGAAACAACAGCCTGAGAGCTGGGAGTGTGAATGCAGAGTAGGTCTGGCAGAAATCTGTCATGAAGCTGGAAGAACTGACAGTGTGCCCAGAAAACCCATGGGAACACTCCTCTCCTCCACGAGAGGAGCCACATCTGGAGCTCCACAAGGCCCCTGCTGTTGGGCTTCTCCACTTTGTCTGCTCACTTATATTTTTTAGTAGAAGCTTCAGATCTTTTCAGTTTGCTTATTCATTGCTAACCCCACCACTAGGATCAATGGGCTACAGAAAAGCAACTTGCAGTTTTTAGCTGGATCCAGATTTCAATATTCCAAGCTTCTAAGGAAAGCCCTTAACTGGAGGCCACTGTGGCCTGTACATGACCAAATGGAGAAAGGACTCCATTTGTCTCCGGCGTCTGCAGGAGGATGACTGGGGAGCCCTCTGCTCTCCGGCTCTCAGCCCCTCCATCTGATCACCAGCATTCAGTGCTCTCAAACTATAATGGCTCAGAAGAAATTCTTGCAGATTTTATAAGGTTCCAGTTCCAGGGTTAACCACACCCTCTGCATTTGGTTTCAACCTCCCCCGAGCCGGGTGCTGTGGGGTAAGGAGCTGCTCAGCCTGGCCTCTTACCGTGGGCTCCATGCCATCCACAATGCTCTGTATCAGTCTCTTGAGCTCGCTGAGGGCAGTGCGCAAGCTGCCGGCTGGCACATCCTTGGCAGACGAGGTTTCTGAAGACTCGTCCATTGAGGAGTCCGTGGAGACGGCCGAGTCAGCACTGTCATTTCCCCGAAGGTGTGAGCAGAGATACCGGACCTGGCAGTATGCTTCCCACAGCTGCAGTCTCAGCTGGCCCACAAAGAAGTAGTCTCGGTTATGGACTTCAGAGAAGACTGCTACCTGGTCCTCTTTTTCTAGTATATGAACCCAAGATATTGATACCCAAGATACTAGTTCTAGGAGAAAGTTGTTCTTTTTTTTTTTTAAATCACCTGTCCCAAGAAATACTGACAGTTCTTCTGGGCCCAGTACATCTGTACGGAACTCCCAATTCTTATTTTCCCTGCCCTCTAGTCCCTCCCCTTTGCCATATAAAGCATTTCTTTATATAGTCAGTTACTGTGGTGGGAGTCAGTGCATGATTAGGGGTATAAGTGGTTATGAGTATTACGAAAAGAAGCCAATTCGATGGATCATGAATGTTCTAGAACCTTGTCAATACAAGAGGTATGAGGCTGATGATTAGTCAACAAGTATTTCCTAAGACACACTGGGATGACAGTGGGCCAGGGACAAGCTTCGGTCAGGGCCTGCTTCATGACAGGGCTAGCCAGCAGGCCCAGGGGCTTGCACAGGTGCCAGGCCACAGCCCGGGCCAGGTGGAAGCTGAAGCAGCAGGCACTGAGCAACAGGGAGGACTGACGGGAAACCCCAGGTGCCGTGGCGACAGGGATATTAGCACCTGCTCTCTCTCCTGCTCCAGCTCCTCGGCCTCCATGCTCTGCTCTATCTCAGACAGGAGGGACGTGCTGGTGGCGGCAGAGCTCTGCAGACTCCTCTCCTCAGTGAGCTCTTCCACCTTTCCCTGCAGCTGTCGGTAGGAGAGCCGCACCTCCTGGAGCTCCAGCTGGCTTTGATGCAGCTTTCAAAGAGACAGCAAATGGTAGGAAGGATTGCCCAAATCAAAAACAACAAGAAAAACTGAGCCTGATCATGCTTCTAGATCCAACCACCAATTTACAGAAAAATACAGAGGAGAGAGGCACATGCTAGACTATACTAGGGGGATGCAGTCAGCAAAAGCCAGATTTGGAAAATTTTACAGGACAAACAGCTCAGTTTCTTTAACAGATAAATTTCAAGGAAAAAAAATATATAATGGGGCAACTTACAGATTAAAAAAGACTTAAGAGACATATCAACCAACCACACTGGGTAGGCTTTTTTTTTGTTTTTGGAGGAAGATTAGCCCTGAGCTAACTCCTGCCAATCCACCTCTTTTTGCTGAGAAAGACCGGCCCTGAGCTAACATCCGTGCCCATCTTCCTCTACTTTATATGTGGGACGCCTGGCACAGCATGGCTTGCCAAGTGGTGCCATGTCCGCACCCAGGATCCGAACTGGTGAACCCCGGGCCGCTGAAGCAGAACGTGTGCACTTAACCGCTGTGCCACCGGTCCGGCCCCTGGGTAGGCCTATTTTAATTTGTATCTTGATTCAAATGAAAAACAATTATGACATTTATAAGACAACTGAAAATTTGAATACCGACTAGATATTTGGTGATGTCAAGAAAATATTACTATTTTTTTAAGATATAATAGTCTTGTGATTACATATTTTTAAGTTCTTATCAGTTAGAGGTATCCTTTATTTACAGATGAAATTATAAAAAGTGAAGGATTTACTTCAAAATAATATTAAAGGAGCAAGTGGATGTAACGAAGATGGCAGGACTGGCCAGGGAATGACGATTTGTAGAGCCAGGCAATGGGGTACACTGGGGCATTATTATCTATTCTATTGTGGAGTTTGTCTGAAATTCTCCATAATAAAAAATTAAACACACACACAGACACAGGCACACACAGTAAGATACCATTAGATTCTCACCAGAATGGCTAAAATAAATAACAACAAAATAAAAAAATAGTGTTGATGAGGATGTGGAACAACTGGGACTGTCACTGCTGGTGGGAGTGGAAGATGTAGAAGCACTCTGGAAAACTGTTTGGCAGCTTCTAACGAGTGAAATATACCCCTATCCTATGATCCAGTAGTTCCACTCTTAGGTACAGACCCAACACAAGTGACCACACATGTTCACGAAAGACAAACAGGATGTTCACAGCAGCATTATTCATGAAAGCCACATATGGGAAAGAATCCAAATGCCAATAAAAATAGAATGGATATATTCACATGCTGGAATACTATCTAGTAATGAAAAAAGAACACAGTTACTATATGCCACAACTTGGATAAATTTCACAGATGTGATGTCGAACAAAAGCCAGACATAAAACAATATATATTGTATGATTCCATTTATAAGAAGTTCTAACCTCACTGAGATAGACGAGATGAAAGTCAGAAAAGAGGTGCGCTTTTGAGGAAGTGGCAGGTATTGACTGGGAGGGAGCGAAAAAGAGGCTTGTAGGGTGCTGATAACGGGATCTATCTTGAGCCGGGTGGTGGGTACACAGGTGTACACACTTGTAAAAATTCACTGGGCTGTCCATTTAAGATTTGTACGCTTTACTATATGTATGTGGCATTTTAATGAAAAAATTAAGGGGAAAAGGATTGTTTGGAAAGGAGCTGGGGGAGAGATTTGGAATAACACCTTGGTAGTAATGCAAAGAGTTCCCAAACCCATGGAAAAAGCAGTCTCTCCCTCCTTTCTGTGTCACACCTCCTGGTTTACAGACAAGGGCCTAGGCCTGGGAGGGGCCTTACTCAGCATCTGAGGCTCAAAGGACAGTGATGCCAGTGGTGGGGGGGACAGCAATGCAAGTGTCAGGACTTACAGGCCAGTGCTCCTTCCCTCTCTCTCGCTGCTGCTACTTCATCCCTCTCTGCATTCTCTGTGGCCCTTCCCTGTGGAGTCCAAACAGGGCACTGTGACCTGGTGAGGTTACTACTGCAGAATGTAAGGGACAACTCCACCACGGCTGCTAATGCCATACTCTTACTAGTGCACTCCATCACTACATTGCTTTCAACACAGCAGACCCTAACTGCAGAATCTGAACACGTCTGCTAATCAGACGCACAAGTCTACGGACCACACCTGCACAGGAGCAGTGTTTCCTACCCTTGTATTTGTGGACCATCCACTCCCCCTTTTTAAAAGTTTTTAGGGGTTGGGTTGGGGAAGAACTTTGTGGGATTTAAATTTAACTAATTTAGGCTTTTATTAAATAGCATTTCTGAGGGCACTCCTGCTCATTAAAAATAAAGCAGACACTGTACTGTCTTTTCCAAACTGTTGGCCAGGTAGGGCTCGTGGTTCCTGCAGAGATGCGGAGACTCAGGGGCAGCAGAAAACAACTCAGAGCTCTGAGCTCTCAGGAACGGAACACGCTGCCTTGCAGAGCTTCAGCCAATCCTACAGGTGCCCTGGGAGCCTCACCTCTGCCGGTCAGCATCAGGGGACAGCTGGCTAACGGCGCTGGTGGTCTGGATGTGCCTTACCTAGGAAGAGTTTGGAGCCTGGTGGCTCAGAGAATGAAAAAGGAATTGGTGAGCCTGCTCTGCATGCTTCCCATGGATCAACAATACCTGCTGGGCCAGTGGGAACTCCTCCAGCCACAGTTTTGAGGAAAGTCAGAAAGAAGAAATTAGGGTTAAAAAGAAAAAAAGACATTCCTAGGAAGCATTTGGCACAATTACAAACAGCATACTAAAATGGCAAAATGCTTTACAATTATTTTCTAGACAACTCCACATACATCTCAGCAGGAGAAGTTCAGCACAGACAAGTACAAGTTCTTATGCACGGAACAAAATTAGTTCAATTACTCATGCACACTCAAAGGTGCTTAATTAATTCTAACAGCAAGAGAACAAAAGACCAGGACAGGGCAGCCCTCTCTGGTCAATAACTGATCCACAGACATGCAGAAAAACCAAACCAAGCCAGGGGAGGGTCTATTAAATGTGAGAACCCTCTAAAACAAGAAATATCATCTTTTATAAAACAAAGATGACACTAAATCTATTTATATGTATGAACAAAGAAGACACTAAATGCCTTGTGTTTGTATAGTATACTAAGTGCAAGTTCACATGTCCCTAAAGTTGGCAGAAGTGGGGGTACTCTCCCATTTCACTTTGGGGGAACTGAGGTGGTGCGATGTTAAGCGATTTGCCTAATGGTACATGCTCAGTGTCAAAGCGAGGTCTCGACTCCAGGTCACCTGCTTCCTGGGCTGCCCACAGTGAGTGGGGCCTATGCCCTCCACTGATGAGACATGCCCACTCATCAGGACGAGGCCCCTGCACTCACCTGTAATACGCACAGCTGGGTAGGAAATAGGGCAGTTAAGTGGCCCTTAGAGGGACAAAATCCTTTAACGGGTATTAAGAGTTTAGAAAAATGCCTGATTTTTTAATTTATTGGGTACTCAATAAATAACAATTTTTATCCTCATTCTCAGCCTAAAAACAAACAGAGGTGGATTTGATCAGTGATTTAAACATTTGTGTTTGACAGTAGAACCTCAATTACATTGTGAACCAGATCAAAGGAGGGCTGCGCCGGCTGTGGCAGCCCTGTTGCCCTGCCTGCTCAGCCTTCCCCTCATCCCTTGTCTGAGGAAAAGGATTAAAATCATGAGATTACACACATTCCACGGTCACCAGCTCTCTATTTTACAAGTCTGATTTAGGACTATTCAACTACTACCTGAGTAAGCTGGGATTTTTATTTCTGTACCAATATAGGCCATTTTAGGAAGAGAAGGGGCAGCAGCTTGAGGAGAGTTTCATATGAATTGAAGAAAAAGAATTACAGATAGTTGGGAAAGGTGAGAGTTCAGCCCATAAACGCCGATTTTCCAAATCAGGGTGGGAATTGCCTGACTTGATGTAGGCCCTGGAGTGAGTGACACTCTCTCATTCTGGAAGTCCCACTGGAAGAGAGTGGGTGTGCAGATGGCAAGGATGTGAGCATCGTGTGACTTGGGAAGGAGGAGCTCACTGTACCAGCCAGGTACTGATGGTCCACACTGGTCCTGGCTCTTCCCCATCCCCACATTCCCAGTTCTCGATTTGAAATAAGGACTTTTCATTTGTGAATTCATGCTGGACTGAAAGTTCCTTTGAGGCAGGAGCCATTTTCCCATTCTTCTGTACTTCTCTCCCTCCCCCTCCCCACACGCCACCTCAGCAGGGGTGTAACTGCTGGTGAAACACTGACTTGCAGAGGCAGTGACGGGCTAGCAGTTACCACTGAGCACCAGGTGAAGCAGGTGGGACGGCTCTACCATTGATTCTATCAAGGACTCCCTACACTACTTTGGACAAATGATCCATTTTTTCTAAGCCTCAGTTTTAGAATGTTTGCAAAAGCACTGTATTCCCTGTAAAGAAGCATACAAATGTTCACTATTATCATTATCAACCTTACAAGATGAGCAAACTCTTTCCCATCTTGAAAACCGCGCTGAGGCTTTAGCCAGCATTATTTTCTATTCGACATCTTCTGAGGCCCTACTATACGCAAAGTTCCAAGCTTACGGTACAAAAAACATGGAGGGAGAAAATCATTAATTTGCTCTTAAAGAGGTTAATTCCTCAGATGGCAGCTTAGCCGATGGTGTCAGTAACAAGTGATCTTAGCCTAAGATATTTCTTTGTCCCACACCACAGGGCTTTCCTAAACAGCTGGCTGCTGGGCCTAGTGGGGCCTTCTGGGGCCTGGTCTCTGGACAGGGACCCAACTGGTGCTCGAGTATACCTGGCTGACCACCTCCATACGAATGACGGTTGCCTTCTACTCCACCTCCTGGCACCCTCAGAGGATGCGCAAGGGGAAGCAATGTACTCTTAGCCACTGGGCCCAGGTGCTCCTAAGCCAGCCCAGCAAAACTTTCTTGGTAGCAGATGCTACAGTCTGTTTTGGGGGGGCTGGGAGCGATTATCCTTTTGTTTAGGGAGTTGTTTCTTGTCAAGTGTGAGCGTGGGGATTCTGCTGAGGCCTGGTGGCGGTTCTCAAATAAGGACAAATATGGCCATGAAGCAATTTCCTTTAGGAAGAAAAAAGAGGCTAATTAGGCTCACATAGGGGTCAGCCTGTGCCTTTTCTAGCAACTGGCAGAAGCAGGATATGACTCTTGCTGTGTTCAGTGGGCAACATCTTGGTTTCTGCTCAGTGCCAGCCAACTCAATGCATCAGCCTGGGAAGGCAACAGCAGAGAGCATTGTAAACCAAGCACGGAAGTCACAAGCTCCCTCCGAAATCTCTAGTAGATTTCACCAACCCTAGGAGGCAGAAGGACACTCCCAGTGTTCCAGCCATGTTAATAGCCCAGAAAGAACTCTGTGAAACTGCTTCAGGAGCCAGTGGCTCAGAACAAATTGAAAGGATGACCTGTGGGTAGTGACACATTTCTTCTCAGCAGAGCCAGGCCAGCCAAGTTAGTGAGCACCCGAGGAGAACTACAACCAGGCCTGGAGAGACCTTAGCTTCACCCCCTCCTGACCTTGGCAGTGGCACTGGCCTCTCAGCCTTTCCTTTTGGCTAGGCAGATAAGTGCTCTTTTGATCTGGCCCTTGTCCTACAGGACAGCTGCTTCTGCCCTAGTACCTGTAGGTCTTTGTCATGGCCCTGCCTCTCCAGGATCAGCACCCGGTCCTGTAGCTCCTCCACGGTCCCCTGGAGCAGGTCATTTTCCTCTAGAGTGGCGCTGAGACGATGCTCCAGCTCCCGTTTCCGATCCGACAGCATCTTGATCTGAAAGGGTGGAGAGCCACAGGGGTGGTGTGGAGTTACACCCAGGCTGATGGGAAGGGAGGGACTAGCCCCCACACACGAAGGCCTGGGTCTTTCCAAGTGCTCTGCCCAGGGGCCTGGTGCCCCATCTTTGTGAGAACAGCTGAGAACTCCTAAGCTGAAGAGAAAATTTTCCCTTCTAGAAACTTGTCTGGGAAGGGTGGGAGCTGTGCTCTTTAGAAGCTGGAATGTGGGATGCCAGGCAGAGAAGGGAATATCACCGTTCTGGAAATTCCACAGATAAGACAGAGAAGAGCCTCACCTTGCCTGCCCACAACTTTACTTCAACTCCACGTTTAATGGGGGAGTGCAACCTACCCTGTTATACCATTCTTCCTTCTCAAGTCATGAGCACAAGAAAATACGCGAGATAGCCTCTGGAGCTGCTGTATTTTCATATTCTACAGCTCTTTCTGTTCTTTCCCCCACGGCTGGCAGGTCTGGATCTAGAGGTCACAGTTCAGACCCAATGCCCTGAGTGAATGGGGGAGCTAGCACGACACAGAAAACAAAGCAGTGCCTGCATCAGCCTGTGTCCTGGGAAGGAAAAGGACACAGACACAAGTAAATAGATGATTTTACTCAAAGTATCTTTTGTTCCAGCAAGTAATTTGTAAACAGAAGCAACTTCTTTTCTTTTATTAAACAAGCTGGTATGTTTGCACACTGAGTATCTAGCCAGTCTCAAGAGAGATATACATCTTATTTTAGGAAGGTCTGTCTAGTCTCTTTAGTTTCAGTGAGAAAACAGAGGAAAAGAGGAAAGAAATGCAAAGTCTTCTCTGGCCTCAAGGTTTGCAGGGTGAGAAGCTGTGCCAGCACTCCCCATGGCCAGCAATGCTTCACCCCAAGAATACCGCCCTGCTCGGGGGCTACGGGAAGCCTTCCCAAGTCCCTCAAATTGCTAGTGGCCTTGGGGGACTTCTGGAGTCCTGCAAGTCCCCATGCCTCCTCTGATTTATCAGTTCCTGCTGGACTGATCTCTCACCCAGTTTCTTGCTTGTAAATATTCTCCCGACGTGGTTTAGATGTTTTCCATGCTCTTTAGCATGGATAACAATTCACTAAGGGGACCAACCTCAGACCCTTTCCAGGGGAGACTTTGAAATGAATGTCTAACTTGTCCCAGGTCCTCTGAAATCCACCTTTCCGTCTGCTTTTTGGCTGTTCTCACTGGAAGCCTTCTCTAGTTCTCTCTGCACTAGAATTCTGTTCACAGGGCACAGATCTCCCCTGGCCACCAATCAATCAGATAGGATGCCATCCTGGGGAAATGCAGCATGTGGCCTTTGTCCAGAGAGATCAGGTATCTGGCCAAACAAAGAAATACTGTCTCTCAAGTGTGCACCTGGGTAAGCGACCAAAAGGAGCAGGCCCCTCTTGTGAAAGGGCCCACTATTCCCCACTTTGAAGCAACGTGACCCATGTGAATGGAATTCTTCCTCCAGTTGATTTTCATTTAAATACCCTCTGACCTTTACATTTTCCTTCCCATAGATAATCTTTGTTTCCCAAGTGCCACTCAGGGAAGCGATGAAGTAATACAGTTCTGATACACAACTCTGGCCCCTTAAAAAGACTCAGAAGTTCAGAGTTACATGAAGTGGCTTACTGGAAATGAACAATTTCATACCTTGGCTTTAAAAGTAGCCGTGTTACTGGATGAAGCAAGGAATCGGCGTTAGGCGGCCAACTCCCTCACCCCACCCTACACACCCTGAAACTTGTGACCAAATCTGGCAACAAACATTCCTGGGAATGATCCTGTGTCATGAGGGTCTAGAAAAAGTGAGTGGGGGTGGGGTGGGGGAGAGGAAGACAGGCAACTCGAACGAGCCAGACCTTGTCAGAGGCGGTTGAACGGCAAGTCATGCACACAAATGGTCACAGACAGGCATGCCAAACCCACCAAACAAACTACTTACTTCAAGAACCTGCTGCTCAATACCAGTAGGAATTCCAAGGGAAGGGAGGAAGGAAGGGGATGAGAGGCAGGAGAAAAGAGAAGATATTGACAGACTTTAGGAAAAACATCTTCAGGTCATTTAGAAGCAGGGGAGCAGCCGTCTGCGCTTCTCTGGGCCTGACCACACGGGCTGAGTCCTTAACCACAGTGGGCGCGCATTCACCTGGCCCTAGACTGTCCCTCAAAGTGAACCTTAGCTGAAGAGCTGCCGTTAAGACACTTAGCTGAGGGGTTCTCAGGAGCAGATTAGGTGGAGGCCTGCTCAGGGGAGAGCCCCTGCTTGGGCTGGTGATACAACCCCCACAACTGGATTCTCACAGTATTGCCCCCTACCTGCTCCTTTCTTTTTCCCTTTGGCCCACTCCAGGCCACAGACCCTGCCTAGCCTCTCATATGCTTTCAATAACATTACTATTTTCCAAACACCACACAAAGTGCTTTCTATGTATTAACTCATTGAACCCTCACAACAACCCTATGAAGCAGACACTTCTACTGCTCTCATTTTATAGGTGAGAATAACAGGCCCTATTAAGGTGGACTGAACGGGACCCAAAGGGAATGGAGAAAGGGAAGGTTCCCTCTCTAATTTTCTATTTAGGATTGGCAAGGATGTTTTTGGAGGGATCACCATATTCAGTAGATGTAGGTCATTCATGATTTCAACACACTCAGCTTTGAGCAACCTTATTTTTCCAGGAGACAGGCTATCCAGAGGAACATGGATCAAGTGTTCCCCATTTAGTTAGACCTTTCTCACAGATATGTCTCTCTAGAGATTTTGGATAGAGCAGGTTTTTGTTTCCCAGTTCAGAAGGCTCCTTATCCAAAAGACCCAGGGCAGCGTCTCCAATGAGAAGCATTTCCATCTCCAAGCACTGCTGCAAAGGAAGGCTCACCTCGGCCTGAAGGCTTTCCAGCCGGATGATGTGCTGGTTGGTTGATGAGTTTTTCTCCCTAAAGTCTTCTCTGAGGGCATGGACTTGCATGGAGAGTTGTCTCTCAACTTCTGATGCCTGCAAGCAGAGGAGACCTTCAGAGCCGACTCAGAGGTTGTGCAAAGGAAGTCTGTTCAGATTTCCGCCTTTCATTTCTCAAGCATCTCTTTGCAACTCTCTATTCTAGGGTGAGATGCTGGCTTCCTATCCCTAGTCCATTTGTTCTTTAGCACCAAACAAGACAAATCCCATCCCTACCTCTACCATGAATGACTCTGTCTAGGTCCAAGACCTAGATCAGAGGAAATAGGCCTGGGAAACAGTAAGCTCTCAAATGTTAGTTATCATCATTATTACTGTGCACAGAGCAGAAGCTCAGCAAACACCTACTAAATTGAGAGAAAGTCTCAGTATTTTACATGAAAGAATAGACAGATTACCTACTACCCTAGAAATCCCTTTATTTCTCCCATCCATTTCCTCAGCGGGGCCCAGGCAGATCATGTGTCTGCATTTCTCACGTCTACTCAACGTGGGCACTCTTTGAAATTCCCTGTCCTGTCTGTTAAGATTTTTGCTGTTCATTCCTCAACAACATTTTTTGCAACTTTTAATTCTCTGGGGAGGTGCTCATTTTGTATCCTAATCCATTTATTCCCTAATGCTGAAACACAGCAAACACCAAACACCACTCAGTGTGTTAACACCTTCTCTTAAATATGCAGGAGAGTATTTTGAAAGAATGCTCCCTTGGTGAGACATGAACTCTAGTCTTCCTCCTGAGGGCCCAGCCCAACCCCCACTGAGGAGAGCCCTAGAGAGAGGAAAGCCACAGGACAGGTTAAGTAACTGCCTCAGTGCTTTTTTGAGGCCAAATGGGGTCAGTAAGCTTCATGAGTTCTCAGGAGAGATCACTGTGTGCTGAAACGGTTAGGAAAGGCTGTCGGAGGAGGTGGGATGGTAATAATGTTAAAACGGTAGGCTAGCTGTTCAATGAGGCTCTCACCGTAATGGTTACATGTTCAATAATTCTTTTCTTTTTTTCTTCAAGTGCTATATAATCAATTGTCCGTCTTTTTTTGGTCCCATAGATTCAACAAATATTGCTCCCCTAGACTAGAGAGCCACATAAGAATCTTAACCTATAGTTCTAATCTTTAAATAACAATTATAAAACAGAATGAAATACACACCATCTCTTTTTCCTCCTTATTCTAAATTTTTTTGTGGGTGTGTGGAAGATTGTCCCTGAGGTAACATCTGTAGCCAATCTTACTCACTTAGAAACACGTTAGTCATCTTTGCCTAAAAATAACTGTAATATTTACTGAGTACTTACTATGTGCCAAGAACAGTGCTAAATGCTTTAAATGCATTATGTCAATTGTCACAACCAAAGCAGGGCCTACCATCCTCAATTTACTATGGGGGGAACAGGCTCAGGGAGGTGGAGAACTTGCCCAACATCTCAGCAAGGTATCATCAGGCATCAGGATGGTAAACTTTGGGCTGTCTTATCCCCTTAGGATTGTAATACTGCCTCCTTATATCTTGAAATAATTTTTCCTATTTCTATCTCTCACTATTGAAAACAAACTTCACAAATCCAATTTGGTAAGGCCTTTTTTTCTTTCTTCTTCTTTTTTATACTAAGCAATTTTATTTAAGACTCTTGAAATTTCTTCTAATAGAATTTAGGGCCCATAAAGAAAATTTCCTCTTATAAATGCTGCAGTTTGACTGCCTGTACTGAATTCTGTTGACTCTCAGGGTTTCAAATGTGTTTAGATTTGCAAAGCACTGGGTAACTCAGGCAGCTAACCTTATTCCAAGCATCACCATCTTCACAGGAGACAACCAAGCCACAGAAACGCACCGAGGGCTACAAAGCTAGCCCAGTGGTATCGGAAACGCTCCTGTACGCTAGTCTCCTCTCAGAGCAATCTTCCCAGAAATCAAACTTGTGTCTTCCACCAGGAAGCCTGACTCCAGAGTCTGGGCTCCTAACTACTAAGCTGTAATGTCTCCTTCAAATGTCTGATTCCTCAGGGATGTACTGTTCACAGAGGCTTTTAACCTGCATCTCTCACTCCAACAGCCCTAAGGAGCAGGAATCACCAGCCTTGTTTTGTAGACAAGGAGGTAGAGGCTTAGTGGGAACTGGCACTGTGCTGGTCTTTGGCCTCCCAGTTCTGTGCTCTCCCACCACACCACAGCCACCTCCAGCCAGATGGCCAATCATCTGCCTGTGATAGTGACAGAGAGGATGGATCAACCAGACAGACAAATCTACCATTCGCAAGAAGCTAATGCACCTTTCAAAGTAAATTATTTTCTTCTTTTTCAGAGATGGAGTCTGGCTCAGATCTTTAGACCTAATACAATGGAATATTAGCTACTGCTGTATATAAATTAAATAATAATCTCTTAAGTTCACACACAACTCTAATGTTCTAAATGCTCTCCGATCAAAGTGTCAGGAAGCCTACAGAGCCAATTTTAGCTCCATAATGAACTTCAGAGCTTCTTTGAAGTTCTTCAAGTAGGAGAGTCAGCCAAGGTAACGGTGGTCTTTCTGAAGGGACCTGCTCTGCTCCTGAGAGGAGGGATAGGATGATGGAAAGAAAAAAGTTACGAGATAGAGTTCCTGTCCTACCACATGTATGTGTACAAGCTGTATGAGTCATTTAACCTCTCTGAGTCTCACTCTCCCAAATTATAGACATAGTCCACCTTTACACAGTAACACAAAAAGGGCAGGTCTAACAGAATGCCCATTTCTCTATTTCTAATTCAGGACTTTGTGAGATTGAGCCGAATCACTGAAGTTTAGGGAAATAAAGAAAAGAAATGTTGTACTGTTACAGATTTAGGGCAGCTGTAGGAAATAGTAAGAGATCCAAGGATCAGTTGTTCAGTTTTTTAAAAAACCAGGTGCTAAGAACACCATGTATATGTTACAGGGTGCTGTCATACGTTCAGTTCACTTATGGGGTCTGCACCGAGAAGAGCCCTTTAAACGACTCGGCAAACATGAAGGTGGTGGTCAAGCTAAAAAATACAGAGAAAACCAGAAATATCTGGCAGTCACACCTTTCAGTTCTGCTCTCCTGGTGGCCTTTCAAAGCTCTTTACTAGTCAGCAAACACCAGGAGCCATAGCTCTCTTAGAGATAGAAATTGTCCTCCTTTGAGGTTTTGCCGGGGGACCTTTTTTGGTGATGGTGCTGGGAGGGATATTAGGACAATTCATTCTGATAGCAGAAATGGCAGGCATGGGACCTACAGTTTACTTCTCAAAATGATGCGTTTTGGCTACTGTGCCTGAGTAAGCAGCCAATAACAGCTATGGCAAAACTGTGGCAAAAAATGACATCTGAAATCATGGGTGAATATAAAAAAGATGGTATGATTTTAGTTCAAGTGTTTGTTCTTTTCGTCTTAAACTCTTAAGATTTTTTCCTATAACAAGGGCAACAAATGCACAGAGTAAAAAAAAATTAAAGGGAATTGGAGGATTGAAATGAAAGTTAAAGTCTCCACTTATCCCTGGTCATCAGTGCCACTCTCCAGTGACATCTCTAACATCACCCATATCTCTAACATCATCTAATATCATATAGATGTTTCTTGTGAGTCCTTCTAGAAATTCTCTATTCATATCTATCTGAAACATTACCAAAAATTTTGGATTTAAACATACATATATTTTAATCTTTCCATGTCAATATGTAGATCTAGTCTTTTTAACAATGTCTGGTACTTAGTTATGCGACCATACCGTAATTCATTTAACAAGTCCCTACTTATGAGCATTTAGAGTGTTCCAATTCTTTGCTATTATAAACATTGCTGCAAAAAACATCCTCACTTACCCATCTTTGTGCTTGAGGGAGAATATCTTATAAGTGAATAAATTCCTATAAGAGCAGTCGCTAGGTAAAAGGAGAGCATACTCATTTTGATAGGTCTTCCCAAACTGTCCCTCAAAACAGTAGAATCAATTTAAACCCCCACCAACAGAACATAAATACACCCACTTTCCAATACCTTGCCACCACTGGGTATTATGAAACGTTTTAATCTTTAGATACTTATTTCTAATATTCTCAAAAACGTCTCTTTTACTTTCATTGCATACAGACTGGATGATAAAGAAAATAAGACATTTGAGAAATAACTCTAGTTCTGTTAAAGAAAGCTGAAAGTTTAACACATATATAGTCCTGGAGTGATCTGAAATGAACGCCTGTCATAATCTGACTGCTTAGATTATTACTATTTAATTAACCCTCAAACTGGCAAAACAAACTGACAGTGTGTTCCTTCTCCCTGATATGCTTGACTTGGTCAGAGAACCATCGTGGACAGATTACTTTCTCCCCCGAGCAGAGCTCTTCCATGACTACTTTTCTTATTGATATGATTAATAACATATTAACATTTCCCCAAACTGGAACATTTAAATTAAGTTGGTTTAAATTGGCCAAAGCAGAAGTACTATTAACTATACACTTTCTTGTTAAATGAAGGAAAGGAAATTGCACTAGTTACACATGAGCATCCATTTAACTTATTTGTCAAAAGGAAAAAAAAAACGAACCAATTAACTTAGAAATTATAGTAGGAGAGATGTACTATTTTATTTTTTATTTTTATTATTATTTTTTTTTTTGAGAAAGATTAGCCCTGAGCTAACATCTGCTGCCAATCCTCCTCTTTTTGCTGAGGAAGACTGGCCCTGAGCTAACATCCGTGCCCATCTTCCTCTACTTTGTATGTGGGATGCCTGCCACAGCATGGCTTGCCAAGTGGTGTCATGTGCACACCTGGGATCCGAACTAGTGAACCCTGGGCTGCCGAAGTGGAACGTGTGAACTTAACTGCTGCGCCACCGGGCCGGCCCCCAGATGTACTATTTCAATACTCTGCCTGACTTACTGAATTTTACTTTAAGAGAGAAATTCTCAATTTTTTTCTGTCAGGGCATGATGAATGATGGGCAACTGCCTGAAACACCTCGGGGGGGGGGGTGACAATGAGGATGATGACACCACCTATAGTGATGGTTCACATTAT